GTATTCAGCACAAGTCTATTGTTGGTTTAATTTTGGAGACCACCAATCAGAGATCATTCTCAATTTTCAGTTGTGGCCTGTATTTATTTTTAATGTATTTGATTGACATACTGGTGTCAGAAAGTTTAATCTGGTGCTATAAAATCATGCTATGTGTGTTGTTAATCTAATGTAAACACACCAATCCTATCAAAATCCTATGAAAAATAATATTTTATGGGCTGATGGCTTTTCATTTGCATGTTGTTGCTTTTTACTTTTAAAAACTACTATTTTTATTTTCTGTGGGTTATGGTTAAAATATGATCATTCTAATAGTTTAATAAAATTTATTTGACTTTTTTAAATTACTAAGTGAGCCCCTGTCAACCCCCACATTGGAAACCATTACCCTAGAATTAAATATACTATCATTCTGGCGTAATAATCAAGGAACTTTGCTGCCTTACCACAGCAATGAAATTACACTGCACCTAAAATAGTCCCAGGTTCGGTAATTAGGAAATAGCACTGCATAATAGTATTGTGCCCGCTGCAGCCATGGTACAGCAGCAAAGTTAATTTATTATAACACATATATAATATATTTAATATATATATATATATATATATAATATAATATATTTAATTGTTTGAGTGAGATGCTAATGGTCTAATCCAATTCAATGATTTATGCTAAGCTAAGCTAAGCTAAGCGAAGCTAAAAGTGCTCCCACCAGACCTAAAAATTGGCTGAATTAATTCTAAAGGGTAAAACTCGATTGTTTATCAATTTAAAATGAGCCTATTTCCAAAATAAGTGTTGTGTTCAGTGTCTGTAAATCTAACCTGACATTGTCAGCCGTGATGGGAATCTGAACAAGATCTGATAATGAGATTCCTCCTCCCAATTCCCATAGATGAGCAATATCTTTAGGCTGCAGAAAAGGAGAAAATAAGATTTATTTTAATAGACATTTAAACAAAATCCAATGTTTTTTTTTAGTCATTAAATGAGAAATCAATTTTCTCTATTTCAAAGGACAATTTTAATTTTAGAAAATAAAATAAACATATAGGGTGACACGGTGACGCAGCGGATACAGCTGTCGCCTCACAGCAAGAAGGTCACTGTTTCGAGCCTTGGCTGGGTCAGTTGGGATTTCTGTGTGGAGTTTGCATGTTCTCCCCATGTTGGCGTGGGTTTTCTCCTGGTGCTCCTGTTTCCCCCACAGCCCAAACACCTGTGTTATAGGTAAATTGAATAAGCTATATTGGACGTAGGGTATGTGTGTGAATGCAAGAGTGTATGGGTGTTTCCCAGTGATGGGTTGCGGCTGGAAGGGCATCCGCTGTGTAAAACATATACTGGATAAGTTGGCGGTTCATTCCACTGTGGCGTCCCCTGATTAATAGAGGAACTATGCCGAAAAAAAAATGAATGGAGAATAAATATATAAACTGATGACAGGACTGTCACTTTTACCGTATTATGACCTCTTGCACGCCTTCCAAAAGTGTACTCCAGTGCAAGAGTAGGTTTAGCTGTCTCATCTCTAGTTTACATGGAAAAAAAACACAATTATGAGGTGACTTTAAAAGTCTTTTGGAAGTCTTTTAAAAACTACATGTCAAGTCACCTTTATTTTTGTAGCAAGATAATGGCTCACACTTACCTGTCAAGAAACCGCAGTAATATTGTTGTTTTGCCCTGAAATATAAGGTCAAATAATTTTGTTGTGATGTTTTTGACAACAGAGGATAAACTATTTTAACCTTAAAAGAGCTGAAGTATTATCTTTGATAAATACATTTCCAAGACCTCTAAATTATCAGCAGAATCAAAACTTTACTAAATCTTTAACTGTATTGTATTATTTCAGGATTGGCCTTTGATGAACTGAAAAAACTTACAGTTGAACACAAATGTTTAAGCCATCCTGTAAAATTTCACAGGAAGTTTAATCATTTTCACCTGTAGGCTTCCTTCATTATCCACACATTAGTTTTCAATAGCTTCAAATATGATCCAGAAATGCCTTTTCTAAATAGATGCTTAATTTTGATTCATCAAGTTTTTACCAAAATACGGAAACCGTTTCTAAGTTTTTTGTGTAGGCTTGTATTTTACAGTACTTTAGAAATACTCAAAAATGTATCTGTCAGTTTATAATCAGAATATGAGTTTTTAGGTGTCATTGTCAGATAATAAACAGTAACGTAAATGAGTGTTCAGAGTGATATATTATAACTTAGTCATACTCCTGCTTTACTGCCCATGAAGAAGACTGTTCTCTGCGAGGGGAAATGTGCATCTTCTTCTTCAGCCTCCTCTTCATCAGTCCTGCTCTCCCTGCTGCGAACTTCCGCCGCAGCAATATCCCATAATGTGTCCGAGCTGCGGAATAAATTCATCTGAATAAAAGCATCATCTTGTTTGCTAATAAACCGTTAACGTTAGCCCTATTATCGCTCACTCGGTAGCTTGTAAGCTAGCCTAAACGATTAAAACAGTGTGAAAAATAACCCAGCCAGTAACTTACCTTACTTTCGGCATTATTTTACCGGTTTTTAATGTTCTCTACGCCAGGCTTTATTAATTTGAAGTTTCAAAGCTATATTGCAGTTGCTTTATTGTTTTGTCAGTCGAAGAAGACGCTTGATTACGGTTGCGAGGGGTAACGTCACTGCTTGATGATGTAGGACAGCTGGTGCACTGTGGGTAATGATGTTTTTCCCCCTTTAAATTACAATCAAGAAACACTTCAACTTGAAAGATAGTATTTGTTATTATTCTTATCCTAAAAAATAAAAATGAAGAATATATATATATATATATATATATATATATACCCTATATATAACTTTATATAACTTCTATAAGTAAATATTTGATGCTTTCTGTGTTTTTTTTATTTACTTTGGACTTCCCCTTTCTTTATTTAGTTTTCTTTATTCCTTTCTATTTTCCATGTGTTACTTATTGTTCTTATCCCTTTGTAATTGTATATACTTGTATTCCAGTCTCTTACTGATTTATATTGTACATTTCTTCTTTCTTAAATAAAATTTTTCACAAAAAAAGGATGTGAGGCGACGCGTTGGCGCAGTAGGTAGTGCTGTCGCCTCACAGCAAGAAGGTTGTTGGTTCAAGCCTCGGCTGGGTCAGTTGGCGTTTTTGTGTGGAGTTTGCATACTCTCCCAGAGATACTCTTCGCGTGAGTTTCCTCCGGATGCTTCTGTTTCCGCCACAGGACAAAGATGTGGTACAGGTGAATTGGGTAGGCTAAACTGTCCATAGTGTATAAGTGTGTATGGATGTTTCCCTGAGATGGGTTGCTGCTGAAAGGGCCTCCGCTGTGTAAAGCATGTGCTGGATAAGTTGGTGGTTCATTCCACTGTGGCGACCCAGGATTAATAAAGGGACTAAGCCGAAAAGAAAATAAATGAATGAAAAAAAAGATCTTTTCTCCCTTATTTATAATAACTTAATTTTAATTGATCTCTTAGTTTTAGTTGCATTAAAATAGCTCTTTTCAATTTTCAATATTCTAATTCTATTGTGAAAACAAATAGAAATAGAAAAGAAATAGAAATTAAATTTGCACTTAAATGTTTTGGTGGTTGTAGTAGTAGGACAGGGCAGCACGGCGGCCCAGTGGGTGGCACAGTCGCCTCACAGCAAGAAGGTCGCTGGTTCGAGCCCTGGCTGGGTCAGTTGGCATTTCTGTGTGGAGTTTGCATGTTCTCCACATGTTAGCGTGGGTTTCCTCCAGGTGCTACAGTTTCCCCTACAGTCCAAAGCCATGCAGTACAGGTGAATTGAATAAGCTAAGTTGGCCGTATGTGTGTGTGTATGCAGGATTGTGTGGGTGTTTCCCAGTGTTGGGTTGCATCTGCTGCATGAAATATGTGCTGGATAAATTTGCGATTCAATCCTCTGTGGTGACCCCTGATTAATAAAGAGACTAAGCCTAAAAGAAAATGAATGAATGAATGAATGAATGAATGAATGAATGAATGAATGAATAGTACTGTACAAAGGTTAATTCAATAATTTTTCTTTAACCTTTTTTTTTTATTGTTAATTCAAAGATACAAACCCATAGGAGCACCATGGGGAAAAACATAATAAAAAAATTATGATAAAATACAAATAATCCATTCATAATTTAATTAATAAAACAAAGTGAAACACTGAAATAATAAAGTGATTTATTGTGATAAAGACATTTATTAGAAAATAAATGATTCTAATAATTTACCACACACACACACAAAAATAAAATTGATACAAAATCTGATTCAAACAAATAAATACAAATGAGATTAAAATGTATTACAAATAAATAAGTAAATAAATGTGCAAATAAATGTGGGATATGTCCGTTTCAAGACAAACACTAAATGCTGTTTATTTATTAATGCAATTTAATAAGATCAAAATACACATGAGTTTTTCTTTAAATTTGAAAAGAAAGTAATAATAAAGATAATTATATTATACATATTTATTATATGTATTATATTTTTTAAATGCTACAGAGTATTTAGCGTGAAGATAGACACTGCTATTCTGAACCAATTGAAAGAGAAATCAGTTTGATGATGACCGGTATTAATCAATTATTTATCTGATTCCAATAAAATCTGACTACTTAATAAATTATCATAATTGAGAAAGAGAATAAATCTCAAAGCCTTAAAGCAGGCAAAGTTGTTTATTAGGTTACATGTTACAGCCAGCAGAATGAAACATAACATCTTGTATAAAGAAATGTGGCTGCAATAATATGCACTAATGACCAGCAAAGACAAAACAGGTGTCTTATAATAATAGATTATTTGTTCAGTCACATTTAAAATCACATTATAGTACAAAACTTTACGAAGAAAATTGATGTGTTTCATTGGAAAAGCATTAGCTCCCATGGTGATGTTGTCTGGATATAACCTACAATATATGATCTACAAAAATACAAATAAAGAACATAGCATTCTGTACACAATAACACACACACATGTGCACACACATGGAGGCTCAGCGTCTGACGAGGTGGTCTCGTATCTTGAAGCTGATGATGCCCAGGATCACAAGAGCGGGCAGGAAGGCATAGAGCAACAGGAAGTCTTGAGTGTAACGGGACAGAGCTCCAGGATAACCCTGATCTATGATCATATTCCCACTGTCTACCAGACACTCTCCTGGCAAGCCAGCTATAGGGGCTGAGAGTGAGAGAGAGAAAAGTGGTTAGTCTGGAAAACGTATGCATTATATCTGTTAAAAACAGTGAATCGAAATAAGATTCAGGCAAAAGTGATATAAAAAATTTGTTCAAAAATATCTTTTATTCTGCAGTGATGCACTTAAAGTCAGAATGAAATCAAAATAGACTTCTTATTTTCATATGTATTTAGTAGTGCTTGTTATAAACGATGTTTGTGCACCATTATTTTGTAAGCATTCATTCATTCATTCATTTTTTTTTATTTTCGGCTTAGTCTCTTTATTAATCTAGGGTCGCCACAGCAGAATGAACCGCCAACTTATACAGCATATGTTTTATGCAGTGGATGCCCTTTTAGCCTCAACACATCACTGGGAAACCCCCATTCACACATTTATACACAACGGACAATTTAGCCAACCCAATTCACCTACACCGCCTGTCTTTGGACTGTGGGGTAAACCGGAGCACCCAGGTGATATCCACACAAACACGGGGAGAACATGCAAACTCCACACAGAAATGCCAACTGATCCAGCCGAGGCTCGAACCAGCGACCTTCTTGCTGAGAGGTGACAGCGCTACCCATTGTGCCACTGCGTCGCCTGTAATAATTCATTTACCCTTGTAATCTATTATCAAATACCTTAACCTCCCCCCCTTGAATGAATTTTCTTCACTTCTGGTCACATGGAATGCCTTTAGGGCGGGGCTATCAGTGCCTGCCTTCGTCCATTGATTAATCTTCCTACATTTTGTTAGTAAAGCCCATCTTAAAACAAATTAATCGGTTCCCAAAGAAAACCAGGCACCACCCTCCTCTTCCCTTTTCTAATTTTCTAAACATATGTACGTCACAATATGGGGGGATTAACTTCTGATTCTTGGCAACTTTAAGCTATTTTAAAAACAAATTTGACATTTTTTATAGAATATTGCAGTGTAGATTTAAAAATTTGGATCCTTGCATTGTCTATAGTTTATGTGTGTGTATGTGTATTGTTCATGTGTGTGTCTTTGTGTGTGACAGAGTCTGTTTTTAATTTAATTTAAAAAATACAGTTACTGCCTTCTCTTCCATTTTACAAAAAAATCTGACTGAAAAGAAAAGATTTTTCTTACTGCAGGTAAAGTTGAGGCCATAGAACTCTGTGACAATCAGGAGCTCGCAGCCGTACTTCTGGAAAGTTAGATAACTCAACCACTGGAACACCACAGGCATTTGTTTAAAACCCCTGGAAGGAACATAAAATGTAACACATTCATGAACAAACTGTGTGCTATAAGAATATAATGCATAATTGGTTCCAGTAGATTTAATGCTGTACAGTGGATTTAATGCTGTACTAGAGTAGTACAACACTTGAGTTTGGAATTTATCACACTACCATTGGAAAAGTATATTCTATATAGTTTGAATGTGAATAATATGATTGGAATTTGGGTGCACATCCGCTATTGGTATCACTTAATTTTGATGGTCTCTTTAAGACATGTTACATTGCAACTACTAGAGTATAACACGTCTGTGATACGGCTATGGTTTGTTGGATGAGGAAGAAGACAGGTCGGGGTAAGCAAAGTTTTTTGAAAACGGCTACTCATGATCCCTGCTTCCCCGATAGGTGTCTCTCTCCCTTTTGGCCTCAGTTTTATGCCATCTCTCCTGAATAATCACTGCAAAGACACAGCTGATGTAATTTGCCAAACTGAATTACTACCTGGCCACAATTCTCTTCATCCATTCCTCCCTTTTGACAGGTGTCCAAGCACGGACAATTTTTTGACAAGCAATGTCAATTTTACTTGCAAAGTTTTTTTAGTCAGAAGAATGTCTGTTGGTGGGGCAGTATCAGCTGACAGACTACTAATAATATTTGTTCATTCATTTTCTTTTCGGCTTAGTCCCTTTCTTAATCTAGGGTCACCACAGCCGCAGCACATCACTGGGAAACATCCATACACACATTCACACATTATGGTAAATTTTAGCATACCCAATTCACCTGTACCACATCTCTTTGGACTGTGGGGGAAACCGGAGCACCCGGAGAAAACCCACGCGAACGCGGGGAGAACATGCAAACTCCACACAGAAATGCCAACTGACACAGCCGAGGCTCGAACCAGCGACCTTCTTGCTGTGAGGCGAATGTGCTACCCACTGCGCCACCGCGTCGGCCCTTACCATTAATACTCTAATGATAATTACACCATCAAAAGGAAATGATACCCTGCCATTTGTCATTATCACAAGACCTTCCATTCATGAACTCTTTCGTGTGGCCTCATGGGATAGTGTAGCATTCATTGGATGTGCACTACAGAATCTCACTGGATGTACTTTAGTATGTCACTGGTGTCACACTCAGTTCCTGGAGGGCCACAGCTCTGTACTGTAGAGGTCTGCACGGGACAAATTTTTTAATTCCCGCTCCCACCTGTTTCTGCGAGGTTTTATTCCGCACCCGGCCATTCCCGCCGTATATATTCAGCCTTTGTTTACCTGCTGCCCACTTAGAATTATTTTCTATCTGACTTGACCAATCCCGCTAAATTTAGATTTGGTTTTCAAAATCTATACTATCGATACTATCAGAAGAAAGATAACAGATACAACTGTAGGTAGTGTAAAGATTGTAGGCTAAATGTCAGTTTTGTTTGCCCCTTTGTGATGAGACATGAGTTCCACCTTAAACCTGAAGTTCCAGTCTTGTGACTGCTAATGGGTAAAACTTTGAGGTATTATCACATCGCACAAAGGGTAATTTTTACCTATTTGGGTCTTTGACGCATGAAAAAAACTCCCATACATCAGACTTGCCTGATGTGGGTTTCTTAACATTAAACTGACCGTTTTCTAATGCAAGCTGAGGGGGACAACACATCTTCACTTTGCTCTCCCATGTTGGTAAAGCCCGTGCAGAAAGCACTGGTCATACATTTATCATGTGTAAATGTTGTGAGCATGGGCTGTCCTGGTGCTAAATAAGAATGAGTCAGGAAATCACAGATATTATGTTCCGAAATAACATAGGGACTTGGGAATGCTAAATTGCTAACCCGCCTGCTCCAGTTCAAATTACACCAGAGTTACCGACCGCTACCGCAATTTATTCAGAAATTTACCCGACCAAGAAATCTGGTCAGGTCCCGCGGTAATACAGGACCTTTACTTTACAGTTTAGCTCTAACCTTTATTAAACTCACTTGATCAAACTAAATGAGTCTTAGACTTAGACTTTTTTTTTAAATGTGAGTGTGTTGAAGCAGAGACTGAACTAAAGTGTGCATGGCTGTGGCCCTCGAGGAGTTTGAGGACCCCTGTCGTAGGTCATCTAAGTACTTCTCATCTACTGTTTTTTGAATATTATGAATTTGGACTTACTACAGCAGTTGGCTTACATTCTGTTTTTCACATACTATATAGTAGGGAGGTATGTGATTTCGGACACAGCTGATGAATCAAAACAATATTTTGACATTTGAAAATCAAAATAATTTCTTCACCTCAGAAATCCAGAGCCCACCATGATTCCTGCTATATTGAGGAGAGCGACTCCACTGTTGACCATATTGGGGTCTTGGACGACACCCAACAAGACCAGTGTTAAGAGTTCACCAATGATGTGAGGCACCATGACCACGGCTGAAAAACACAGGAAGCGCACAGGATCTGGGTTCATGCCTACTGTCCTAAAACACAGAAACAAACACTGCATGTGGTCACGATTCACAAAGCGCTTGCTTTATTTGATCCCGCGGACATTGCCCTGACATCTGAACCCAAGTTACCCCGACGCAAGCTCGGATGAACTCGAGTTGCTCAAACAAACACACACCCATACTTACCAATACAGGAATGAGGCGAAGATGAACACACTGATAATACTGAAGGGTAGGATATGGATGATGTAAGCCAGAAACATCTGCCATTTCTGGTATAAACCATCTTTACTCTCCTGATCAGAAATGGCCCGCAAAGCAGGGACTGTTGGAAAAAAGAAAACAGCTATTAGTGATTTTTCTTTATTAAAACCGCATGAGCGGAAAGCAACTATACAGTAGCAGACGCGTCTTGTGTTATAATTATGTGCTATCTATATCAAGAGCTCTAAGTTCAAGGGCAAGCAATATTCTGGACATGCCAGGGCAATTTGTGAGGCAATGCACCTACTGTGTGTTTCGCTGTTATCTGGTGACCTACAGTAAGATATGAGCTATTATCAAGCTTAAGGTCACGGATTACATTTCCCTATTGCACTGGCGTAATCAGTCTAACTGCTGCATCACAATCAATTCTGCCCAGAGACTGCCTTCACAATTTAGAGGGAAAGATATGTCTGCTGCACAAATATGTAGAAAATTAGACAGAAAAACATGTTTTATGCTTCACTTTTTTCCAGTAGGAGGTGACGAACCACTGTCTTAAATAGTCAGACATTGAGTCGTTAAGTCAAATGTTTTGTTTAAAGCTCTTGGTCGTCTTTGTAAGTGAGTTGCAGAGTCATTCGTTAAAATGATTCATTCAAAAATGCGAATTCATTCAGTCAGGAAACAGTGCTGTGTTAGCTCTACTTGGGATTTGAGAGGATTTTTACTGGCAAAATACAGCAGATGCAGAAAGTAATCTATTAGAAATTACCTAATTTTGTATAAAATTATTGGAAAACTGCAGTTTCTGGTAATACTCAACTATAAATTATCAAATAAAACAAACACCCACACAATTATGCCTTATTTTTAGAATTTTGGTGCCTTGTTTATATATATTTTGTAGAAATTTTAGTCGATTAATGGAAGGGATCTTTAGTTTTAAAGATTGTAAGTTCAAGTTTCTGTAGTGAGGAGTTGTGTTTCAAGGAGACATGAGCAATTCCATGCTAACGCCAACCTTGCCAAGAAAAAAAATTAGGTTTCTACCAAAATAGAAAAATGGTTTCTACATTTTTTTTTGCAAGCAAGCAAGTATTTTACAGTACTTTAAAAATACTCATTATGTCTTTGTCAATGTTTTCAAATAGTTATATTTGATTTACCAAAGTGACACAAGTGCCAATTTCACATCTGTCACATCCATAACGGAGAGATGTCACATTCATAACGAAGCTTTTCCCACATAAATGTAAAATTAAAAAAAATCAACGATTTTTATTCTATAGTGAGCCAACTCATATTCTCTTGATTAGCATTATTTCTTTTGGGTTGTGCAGCTTTATTTACGGAATGTTTTTACAAAGTATGTTGTAGACTGTAAACTCGCAAACTTTTTTGTGACATCCATAATAATGCATGTTTATTTTCCTTATTTAAAATATAAAAAATGTTTACAGACTGATATTTTTCAGATTTTATAACTCTGTGGTTAGTTGTTTAGGAAAACATAAACAGATATTTCATAATGCCAGCACATACTTTCTATATGGGCAGGGGGCGCCCAACCTGCGGTCTGTGTGGGTCCTAATGCCCTAGTATAGTGACGGGGACGCTATACTGCTCAGTGAGCGCCGTCTTTCGGATGAGACGTTAAACCGAGGTCCCGACTCTCTGTGGTCGTTAAAAATCCCAGGATGTCCTTCGAAAAAGAGTGGGGGTTTAACACCGGCATCCTGGCCAAATCTGCCCACTGGCCTCTGTCCATCATGGCCTCCTAACCATTGCCATATTTCAATTGGCTTCATCACTGTCTCCTCTCCACCAATCAGCTGGTGTGTGGTGTGCGGTCTGGTGCAAAAAAGCTGCCGTCGCGTCATCCAGGTGGATGCTGCACACTGGTGGTGGATGAGGAGATTCCCCCATTGTGTAAAGCGCTTTGAGTGCCCAGAAAAGCGCTATATAAATGTAAGGAATTATTATTATTATTATTATTATTATTATTATTACTATTATTATGAACTCATGTTTTGAGTTTTTACTGCAAATGTCACATCCATAATGCTGGGATTGCTCCCATACATTTAATAAAAACAGCAACTTTTGGAATATTTATGACTGCAAGAGATGTTTATGCTCTCATTCGTCACCCATCACCACTACTGTTTTTTCTGCTTTTAATGTTTAACAAAAGTTATTAAACTAAAACATTGCCTCAATTCTGGTAATTAAATATTTATATTTCAAGAGTTTACACTTAGCTGATGATTGATTATAAGCAAGTTTGGCATGCTGTCCCACGAGAGATCCCTGAGCTCGAAGGTTCTTGAGCCCTGGGCTCCGTCCCGTTTGGAGGAAGAGAGGGGAGCCTCGAGCTCAGGTAGATCTCGACAACTCCCCCTTAATAAGAGCTGATGACTAAAAATTGAATGCTATTAAAAGATATGCTGCATTATGAGATGTATTGCAAATTTAGATTTATCAATTTACTTGTTGTGCATGTTTTTGGAATGTGGGAGGAAACCGGAGGACCCGGGGAAAACCCACGCAAGCACAGGAAGAACATGCAAAACTACACACAGAAACGACCACCGGCCTGTTAAGGGACTAGAACCGGTGACGTTCTTACTGTGAGGCGACAGTGCTAGTCACTGGGTCACCGTGCTGCCCTATGGAGGGAAAGGTGAAAAGGTAGGGGTGGAAGGGGGGATTCTTCAAATCGAAGATGACTGCAGTGAAAAAACCCTGGCTCTTTATAGTGGGTTAGGAATGGCCTGATTGGTGGATCATGCATGCTAATGCAGAACCAGCTGTGTTCAATCATAATCACGTGCTCCTCTCGAAATTAGTTTATGAATAAACTTCACTAAGTACAAAAGCAAAGACAGGAATATTTCTACTTTATCTAAGCTAATCAAAACAATGAAAGTGTACTTTTTTAGTATATACTGTTAAAGTCAGAATTATTAGATAATTATTAAATAATTATTTTTAAAATATTTTCCAAATGATGTTTAACAGAGGAAGGAAATTTTCACAGTATGTCTGATAATACGTTTTCTTCTGGAGAAAGTCCTATTTGTTTTCGACTATAATAAAAGCAGGTTTTAATTAAAAAAAAAAGATTTGAAGGTCAAAATTATTAGACCTTTTAAGCAGTTTTTTTTCAATAGTCTACAGAACAAACAATCATTCTACATTTACTTGCCTAATTACCCTAACTTGCCTAGTTAACCTAATTAACTTAGTCAAGCATTTAAATGTCATTTTAAGCTGTATAGAAGTGTCCTGAACTATATCTAGTAAAAAATTATTCACTGTCATCATGGCAAAGAAAAATAAATCAGTTATTAGAAATGAGTTATTAAAACTATTTTGTTTAGAAATGTGTTGAAAAGGTCTTCTGTCAGTTAAACAGAAACTGGGGGAAAAATAAACAGGGGGGCTAATAATTCTGACTTTAATTGTATGTAATTAGATACATACATACATATTTAACATACAATATATATATATATATATATATATATATATATATATATATATTTTAACATACATTTTTCATACACAACTTTATATACCAGTTTATAAACCAAATCAGGCATATTTAGACTAAGAATCATTTTATTAAATATTAAAAGTCTATATTTAAGGACTACAGTGGAGTACAGTGGAATTTAATTTTAAGCCAGTAACCCTTAAACCAGTGGATCCTAAAGTAGGGGTCGTGAGACAATGGGCTTGGTGAAATATCATATGTTATTAAACTATTAGAATTATCATATTTTCTCTAAAATTAAACCAAGAATCTTGTGCTGTAATTATTATGCCTACCATTCTCATTAGGTGAGGTTAATATTAAACTAAACTAATGAATAACGACTATAAAAAATTATATGGTTTTTATTCCGTTGCATGATTTTGTGTTGTCAATAAGCTTGCTTATATAGTTTCTATTAGTGTGTCTGTGCAATGTTTGCATGTTTGAAACCACCTCCATGAATAGTGGGGGTCACGAGTCACTGGAATTATTTTGGGGTTCGCAAGCTGAAAAGTTTGATAAAACCTGCCTTAAACCACTAGATTTACCCATTTACCCAAAACAAAAATAAAAATTTGTATGATTAACATTTTACATATTTTAGTAAATACAGGTAAAAGAATTATATGCTGTTCTTGTAAATCATGATGGAAAATGATTTCACTCAGATTGCAGGCTGCATAGAACAATACATCGATTGTTATCTGTATACTTACATAGAGCCACAGCATTCAGCATTCCGGTATAGGGAGATGCACCCATGGATTGGTAGATTAGGCCGATTCGGTCCTGTACGGCACCTTTTGTCACATCCTTACCAAGCCTCATGAGGAAAAAAGCAATGAAGAGGCCGTAGATGAGATTCTGAGAGAGACGCATGAGAATACCCATCCTGTCACGGGACACGTTGCGAAAGGTCCGTCTATGTGTGCATGTAAAGGAGCAAAAAATGTATGAATAAATATAGCATTAACATTATGGACTATTAAGATAATCTAGTCACATTTTAAAACAAGGTTCCGTTAGTTCATTTTAGTTAAAGAGATGAAAATTGTCTCAACATTAACTCATTAACTATGAATTTATTTTTTCCGTTGAACACAAAGCACAATATTATGAAGATGATCAGGGGAAAAAAAACAGCCATTGACATCTTTAATATCCACAGTTCAACAGAAGAAAGAAGCTCAAACAGGTTTGAAGCAAGTGGAGGATGAGTAAACTAAAAATAAACAATACTTGTACAACATTTATTAATCATAGCCAATGTTACTTTCAACATTTATTAAAAGATTATTGGGCTAATTAGCATTAGTTAATGCACTATGATTTAACAAATTCATTGAAATAAATGTATTAAATGGGACCTAATATGCCCCTTTTACAAGAGCCTCTGATGTCCCTACAATGTGTATGTAAAGTTTCAGCTCAAAATAGCCCACAAATAATGTTTCATAACTTTTTGAAACTGTCACTTTTAGGCTTTGATTCCAAAATTGTGCCATTTTGTTGACTGTCGCTTTAAATTCAAATGAAATTGTCACATCTATAAGTCACCATTGCAGCAGATTCAAAACTCTAAAGGCTGATTTATACTTCTGCGTTGAGTGATCGGCATGACCCACGACACCTGTCTTGCATGTAGTCGTAGATTTATACTTCTGTGTGCTGTTTGTAATAATAATAACAAAAACAATAACACTTCCAAAATGCTAGCTCGTAGTGGATTTTTATGTTCCTCTGTGTCGAGTTTCTTTGCTGGTGTTTTGTTTTTTTCTGAACGCTACCTTAATGTATAAATAGCTAAAACTCACTCATTCAGAGGCGGAACCGGTGGACGTGCAACTTAAATCATAGCGTAAACACACAACAAAAGTCTCCACCTGGAGCTCCTTCACGGGACCCAACACTTGTAAACAATCGCTTCATCAGGCTCGCGGCTCTTTGCTCCACCCATGCTCATAACCACTACCTAGCCGACCAATCACAGAGCTTGTGCTAAATGTCGTTGCGATGTGTAGTTACATTTTTTAAGAGGTGTACGTCAGCGAGATGTAAGCCATGGAAAGGCCTATGAAACTGTGCATAGGCTGCACCGGAAAAGAAGTATAAATCAGCCTTAATGACAGACGGCTGCTTCTCACTCAAAGCTGTTTATGGTAATAAGAGAGCAATCATCACTAATAGCCGGCTTTCCCCTACTGATGATATGTACAAAGGGAGAATGTTATTCAAAGTGTTTCTGCAGACTGTTTTTATCAAGTGTGACTAAAAGAATAGAATTGATTACTACTATTAGTGCAGGGGTGTCCACACTCAGTCCTGGAGGTCCGGTGCCCTGGGCCGCGTCTGAAACCGCATACTTCCATACTATATAGTACGCTAAAATTAGTATGCAAGCCGAGTAGTATGTCCGAATTCATAAAATTGGAAAATCAGTATGCGAGAAGTACCCGGATGACTTACTACTTCCGGCGAGATTCTGGAGTGCACATCCCATGCACGATGCGCTATCCCATAGTGCCCCGCGAGAGAATTCATGAATGAAAGTGAAGCAACGCAACTGACGCAGGTAGGTCACATGACCATGACAAAATGGCGGGTGTAGATTTCCATTCATGCTTTTCACATTCATACTGTATAGAGTGTACTTTTCTAACAGTCAAGCAGTACGTTTAAATTCAAATGCAGTACCTACTGAGTAGGCGGTTTCAGACGCAGCCCTGGAGAGTTTAGCTTCAACCTTAATCAAACACACCTGAACCAGCTAATCAAGCTCTTACTAGATATACTAGAAACTTCCAGGTAGGTGTGTTAAAGCAAGTTGGAGCTAAACTCAGCAAGAAACTGGCCCTCCAGGACCAAATTCGGACACCTCTGCATCAGAGGTTTTCTATATACACTTGCTATTACCACACAGCTGTGTTTAAACACCTTATACAAGAGACTTTTGCATTATATGTCCCCTTTTAAATATAGTATTTATTGTTTTTTCATGTAAGTAAATGCATTAACATAATCGGAACCTTATTGTAAAGTATTACCTCTTTAATGATCTGGTCAGGTATATTATGGTCAGGCCATAATAATGCCTTATTGTAAATTGTTAGTTTTCATTGTCAGAACAGGTGTGTTTGCTTTTTGAGAGTCAATGGTGGTTCAGTAGTGTCAATCTTTATAGTGTCCCAATACTCTTTATAGTATCTTTATAGTATCCCAATAATCTTATAGTATCCCTTCTTGTTCAATCAAGTAATACGAAAAAAAGGTTTAACATTCTGACTCAGTGTTGTCACTACTGTTTTACCTCAGGAGGACCCCAAGTTTGGATATGCAGTTGGGGGACTCTTTGCTTTTAAAGGGAATCATGGGTTTGTCTGGTCTCTGGCAGCTTTGTTCAATTTTTTCCTGCATGTTAGTGTAGATCTCTGAGTTCTGATAGGCTGACGTGATATCATGCATGCGCCTGTAGGTGGCAGCTTCCCTCTCGCTGCAGCGTGTGTCCACAGAGGTCAGATCCACTACCAACCACAAACAATCCATTAGTTTCGGCTTTGAAATTCACACAGTCCTTATGAGATCCTTAAATATGAGATTCTAAATGGCTACCATAAATGTCGAAGGGGTTGCAGTATTCGGGACACTCGTATCCGCAGCTGCTGAAGAAATCCACCATCTTATGAGGCTCTCCGCAAAACACCAGCTCCCCTTGACTCATGATTGCTATTCTGTTAAAGATCTGGAAAAATGTAAATGAGTTTCAGTCATTTTGCATAATTTAGGACTATCATATTGAATAATTATGGGTACATGTTGTTGTGTACACTGAACTTAACCCCATTAAACAGATTCAAACAATAGATTAATAAGCAGTCATTCATCCAAAGTAGCTTTTGGTAGTAACAGTAGTGACATTTTTTCATACTCATTTCAAACACTCCAGATCAGGTGCTTTTAACAATAATTTCTCAAAAGTCTGAAATCTTTCACCCAAGACAAACTCCAAGCATTCACATGTAAGAAGATGTGAAAGATCTTTTAGTTTTTATCTTTTAAACAAGATGAAGTCTGTTTATGTATTTTATGTATGAAAGGTGCTATACAAATGTAATCTATTAGGCCTGCTACATATTGGATAAATGTAACATTGCGTTGTTATTTTATTTTGTGATATATATATATATATATATATATATATATATATATATATATATATATATATAAAGCGATGTGAATTCAATTCAACCAGATGACCTAATATCTATATGTCTATATTTGCAAAGAATGTGTAATGTTTTGGGTGGTTTTAGATGGATTGGGATGATTCTGCAGTGCATTGTAAAAAATATCAGTAAAAACGTCTGTACAACTACATTTAACAGGTTTTGTGAGCACCCAAAAAGCTTCTGTCAACTTGTTACTTTAAGTCTACTTTTCAGACCTTCTCACTTGAAAAAATGAAGGCTCATTTCTAACCCTAAAAACAACAACAAAAATATTAGTAACAACAATAATAACATAAATGTCATTATTAGTATTAACAACAACAACAACAAAATACTACTGCAATAATTCTAACATAATTTGAAATGATAATTCATTTGTAATTTATATTTTTTGGCTCATGATGCACTGATTACAAGCACTATAAAGACACCTCATTCACACAGACTCTTTGTTGAGTCTTGTTTTTCCCTCTGAAGCATTACAAAGCATCTTTCCCTGTTTGTCCTGCCATGTTTTGATTCTTGTCTTGTTTACCGTTATTGTTGTTTTGCCTCCTGTCCTGTTATTAATCCTGTGTCTAATAAATGTTTTGTTAACATTTGTCTCTGTTTTTGTTTGTTGATTTTTTTTTTCAATTGAACTATGTTTGTTTGTTCTGATAATGTATTATTTCTTAGTAATTTCCAAAAGTGTTTTTTTTTTGTTCACTAAACTTCAGACATTCCAGTTCTGCAGACAAAAATGTTCAGTTGGCACAACTTAAAAAGATTTGTTATAGAGTAGTTCACCTCTTCAGAAAACTAATATTCTTTTGTTAACCCAACTAAATGTTTTTTGTATAACTGACAAATAATTATAGGTGCAGTTGTTGTTTTCAAAAGTTGAGTGAACAAGAAAAACTGAAAGGAAAGAATTATGTACATCGGGATTATGTTTTTGTTTTGTTTTTGTTGTTGTACTGGCTTAATTTTTCACAGTATGGGAGTGCAGCTCCATAAAATCTAATGCAGTGCATTTTTGCATTTGCATGTGTTGTGAGTATTTTCATGCATAACAACAAAGGGTCCTGCTTTATATTAAGTGTCGCTTATACCTGTAAACTTACATGGTACCTTGATGTGTAAGTAGTATGTAACTACAGTGTATGTACACACTGGTACATAGTATTTACTTTTGTAATACTGGTGTAACTACACACATTTAACAACACACTGAATAGTATGTGTAAGTTAAAATGTGTAACAAGTCATTGCAGAAGAGCAATGTACATTGCAACAGGACATTGTTAAATTAATTTGTGTCTCATTTCTAAGCAGTACTGGTATTCGGACATTGCGTTTTGCAGGTAGAGAATGCAAACTGCTGGACACAAGTAATCCACCAGGCAAAGATGACGATACTGAGGGTTCAATCATACACAAGTCTCTGAGAGTGGCCCAATGATTTTGACACATCTGTTTAACTACAGTGCTTCCGGCTGCTATCACTTCAGGCATGTCTCCCTTTACTTTCACTTGGCACAAGACAGAAACTCCTTTAGAAACTCCTTGAAATTGGTAACACAATCTTTACATGATATGCAAACAGGTGTGGAAGTGGGAAAGCAATGTCCTTTTACATATTTGAACTTACTGATACATATTATTCAGTATGTTGTTACATGTATGTAGTTACACCAGTATTACACAAGTAAATACCATGTACCAATGTGTACATACACTGTAGTTATATACTACTTACACATCTAGTTACCCTGTAAGTTCACCGGCATAAGCGACACAATATAAAGTGGGACCCAACAAAGTGATAAACAAAGTGTTTTATCGTTTCCTGAGTCTAATAGTATTCAAGTACAGTAACTAAATGATACAAATAAAGATAGTTCTATAAAATTAATTAAGGCCACAAATGGTACAATTTCCTATACCTGAATGCTTTTAAAATCATTATACAAATCACAGGCATCAAAAACACATGGGATCCAAAATTAACATTGCATATGCTTGTATATCCTATTGCGAATGATCACATTGTGATATTGATGCTGAAACTATATATATTTTGCAGTCCTATAATATTTTCTTATTTTGTATTCATTTTACTTTATTTACTGTAAATGTTAATTGAGTCATGCATCATTTACTTTAGCTTGTTACTGTTGTGTATGTTTTATTTTGTTTACTTATAATACTACGTATTATTTATCACTAATTATTATTGTTTACTTATAAGGCTAATATTTGTATTTAATATTAATACCACAAATATTTTTGTTTTTATATATGAAGGGTATTATAAAAATTTAATTAGTATTAAAGATCGTTTATTATTATTCTGTAAGTTTTTCTTAATTTCTTTCTTAATTCTATTATTGTTTTTTTAACAATATTTTTATTATTATTCTATTTGCATATTAGTACAGATTACACAGTTGATAACAACCACATAAACATAGCAAACAGTTTTCATCCCATTCTCTCTCCCATCACCAACAACAAAGAGGGAATTAATTAATTAATTCATATTTTTAAAGATTTTAGATCAAGTAAAGGCAGTTTTCAAAGTCTGTAAAGAATATTAAAATATTACCCCACTTGTTTATAGCTTATTTTTAGTACACTTTTTGCTGTTCAAATCCAAATATTACACTTATTCCCATGCAGGATTTAATTTTAAGTTTAAATGGTGCTGCACTAATATAATGTATTCTTATTATATTCTTATAATTTTGTGAAAGTATGCTTAATTATACACCATTTTCTCAGTCAAGTCATTTCAACTGCATTAGTTAAAACAGAAAATGATCAGCTCACTCTGAACAGCTCTGATCGGGGCTGGTGGATAGTGACGATGACGATTCGGTCTCTTCTAGCCAGCTCTGCCAGCAGCATCACAATCTGATTGGCTGTCATGCTGTCCAGGCCTGTGGTTGGTTCATCCAGCAGGATCACCTCTGCAAACAAAGCAAATAAAAACTTTTCACAAAAAGTCCACCTTCTGTCTTCTGAGAGACAACTTCCAGAGTCTTATTAATTTGACAGTGAAAGCAATTAATAGGTTCCCCTTTGTCTAAATTAATTGGCGGATGAATTCATTTGCTGCTTGATTGGAGAAGGCAGCAGATGAAAGCCACTTATAATTGCCGGTTTGTGTTCAGTTTTGGAGTGGCCTCGACTAATCCATAGTCCAGGGTCCCAGAAGACCCCTGAGGTCCAAAGAGCCTGATAAAGCATCCAGAGGGACCCTCATGGAGCTCAGCTTAATAATAAAAATGCGATAACCCTGTCTGCCACTTTTAATATTCCACTTCAGTCCCTTTTACTCATCTGTCCATTCCATAGTAATCCTCAGAGGGTCGATGTGTGGGTCGCTGTGCATTTAAAATAACATTCAGCTGAAGCACATATGAGGGTTGCATCTTTTGAGGCAATAAAAATATGATATACATCCATCATAGGGATGGAACCATTATTGGTTTTACAAAATTGGTTTGAAATTAGAGTTATTACTTAAATTGTGTTTAATTAGCATGATTTTAGAAACTTGCTATAAATCCAGCATTGGTCTGACGCAATCCAAACATGAATCCTTTGCAAAGAAAAAGGACATCTGAAATTTCAGAAAATGTCCTAAATTTTATCTTATATTGTACCAAATGAATAATTAAATGGAGATGAAATTCAGTTGAGATTAAAGCTTTAAAATCTTATGTTTGTTATCTTTTGTGATTGGTAATAATCCATTGCTGTTGAGGTATTTGTAACAAAGCAAACAGAAAATATACAGTAGTTTTGATACAGTACAGTGTTGTACTTGTGTTGTCTTTATATGTGACCCTGGACCACAAAAACATAAGTCATAAGAGTAAATTTTATATATCCATTGATATGGTTTGTCAAAATAAAGCAATATTCTGAATATCTGCAATATGAGGATTTAAAAATATATATATATTTAGAAAATTTCTAAAAGTACAACAAATAAAGCACATAGCAATGCATTTTACCCATCAGAAATAATGTTTTTTTATATATATTTACAAAGGATGGGCGCCACGGTGGCCCAAGTGTAAGCACTGTTGCCTCACAGCAAGAAGATTGCTGGTTTTAGTCCCGACTAGGTCAGTTGGCGTTTCTGTGTGGAGTTTGCATGTTCGCCCTGTGTTTGCGTGGGTTTCCTCCAGTTTTTCCCACAGTCCAAATACATGTGCTATAGGTGAATTGAATAAACTAAACTGGCCATAGTGTATCTGTGTGATTGAGTGTGTATGGATGTTTCTTAGTACTGGGTTGCAGCTGAAAAGGCATCCGCAGTGTATAACATATGCTGGATAAGTTGGCAGTTCATTACGCTGTGGCGACCTCTGATTAATAAAGGGACAAAGCAGAAGGAAAATGAATGAATGAATGAATAAATGAATGGATGAAGTCATAAGTGTACATTTTCTGAACAAAATATGCATTGATATGGTTTATCTGGTTGAGAAATATTTGACCAAGATCTGAATATCTGGAATATGAATGTTACAAAAAACTAAATACTTAGAAAATCCCTTTTAAAGTTGAACAAATAAAGCTCATAGCAATGCATATTACCATTCAAAAATTATGTTCTGATATATTTACAGTTGGAAATTTACACAATATCGTCTAAGAACACGATCTTTATCCATACAATGTATTTTTGTTTATTGCCAAAAATATTCTTGTATGACATAAGACTTGGTTTTGTGGTCTGAGGTCACAAATCTAGACATACATTTAATTTCCTTATTTAAGTTATAGTTAAAAAACATATTGGGAAAACTATCACCTCATTGGAATCCATATTAATGTGGTTTATGCTTACTAAATTACATACAGCTCTCAATTTTATTCGATGTTTGTTAATTTTCAGAAATAACACTTAGTGTTGTAAATGTTTTTAAGTTTATACAGTATGTCATTTTTAAAATGAACCATTATTTTAAAGAATCCACGATGATACTGATAACCGTAACTATTGTGATATTTTCATGCAGCTACATCTCTACTATATTATTTTGTACAGTAAATTACAAATAAAAAAATATCTTGCTACTATAGGTTAACATGAATACGTTTCAGGTATGTCAAGTCAGAGGGTAATGCACTCACTGGGGTCCTGAAGCAGTTGGCTAGCAATGGAGACCCTCCTTCTCTCTCCACCAGAAATGCCTGGAAAAACGCGGCCTCCAATCACGCTGTGAGCCACGTGACCCAAACTCAACTCGGCCATGACCGCAGTTACCTATGTAGACCACAGAGAGAGAAGGAAATTAAAAATGTTGTTAGGGTTGCATGTATGTATGCTTGACCATTTGTTTAATTTTGTGTTTTGAGATGGTTCACCTTCTTGCGTATGGCCTCAGCAGAGTGTTTTCTCAAAGCAAGCTGTGCAGTGTATGTCAGAGTCTCTTCCACGGTCAAGTAGCTCAAGAGATTGTCACTCTATGAAGAAAAAAACATCATTCCCCAGCTAAACATTGTAAGAAGAATCGCAAAATCAAGGCTGTTTACATATTGAGACTTGATAATACAATTAAAATGTGCAAAATTTTAGGTCAGTTGAGGCATTTTAAATACTACGAATTAACATTTGCATTGATAATCTTATACAAAACACTGTACATGTTTTTACATTATATGTGATAAACAATGCAGTAAGCACAGTTGCAAGTAATTTTTATTAGTAACAGTTGACCATTTCTCTATTGTTTAACAAATTTTAAAATAAAAATAGTTAAAAACTAATCTTTAAAGAGATAGTTCACCCAAAAAAAGAATGAAATAATTCAAATGATGCCATTATTTACTTGGCCTCAAATTGTTAAAATACTAAAGAATGTTGGGTGAATCAGCCATTGACTTCCATAGTATTTTTTGTTTCTACTATGGATGTCAATGGCTGCTTTTGTCGACATTCTTTAAAATATATTTTGTGTTCAGCAGAAGAATGAAATTAATAAAAGTTTAGAAGCACATGATTGTGAGTAAATGGTAATAAAATATGTTCGCTTTATGAGTATACAGATTGGAGCCAGTGTGGTAAACAAAAGCAGTTTATTCAGTGTAGTGAGCCCTTTCCTCCATCGGCATCAATCAAAAGTCCAAAACAAATGAGATTGTTTAGAGTACAGGTGTTAAACTCAGCTCCTGGAGGGCAGCAGCTCTGCACAGTTTAGCTCCAACCCTAATTAAACACACCTGATCAAACTAATTGAGTCCTTTAGGCTTGTTGGAAATGTGCAGTTAAGTAAGTTAGAGCTGGGTTGGAATTAAATTGTGCAGAGATGCGGCCCTCCAGAGTTTGAAACCCCTAGTTTACAGTCTAAAATCTTTTTTTTTCTCGACAATTTTCACAGTTTGTGCCAATTCTCATTCATTTCAACATATCCCAAAAGAAAAACCACTCAATCTCGGCCAACAATAGAGGTTGTCAGAAAATGAGCAGCTTGGTCATTCTGCTAAACATCTAAATTTTTGTACTTCTGAAAAGAAAGTCACACAAGTTTGTAACAGCATAAGTGTAAGTAAATGATTAAATATTTTTTTACTTCACTATTCATTTAAACATTTGCTCAGTATATTCATAAAATAAGAGAATGTTCAATTAATTAAAGCCTCATCTAAACAGAGCTGACCTCTAATGTTCTATAAGCAAAGTGTCGAAAGGCTTTAAGTTAGTTTTACACATATTACGTTGGAAACATTTTACAGTTTGTACACTTTGCTCGTGGGTGGGTTGCTCTTAAATGTCATTAATTTTATAAAATCTTATCTGTACCTGGAGTTTAAGTATGATCATCTCTTTGTCTAAAAAAAGGTTGTTGAGATAGTGTGTCATAAATATCTTTTATAATTGTTGTGCCATGAATGTCACAACTGATGTAACAAAAATGGTTATTTTAAGCGGTGATCAAATAAATGTCAAGGTCTGGCCCTGCTAAAAAAATACAAATATACAAATTGTAAGTTAAGACGTTACATTTCTTGTTAAATAAACTTAAAATGTGAAGGTATTTAATTTTTTAGGTTTCCGCTGATGACATTGGAATAAAATCGATAGATATTGGAGTATTCAAATAAGTTGTATTATGAGTTCTTCATAACTTCCCATTCAAGGCCATTTGTTTATCTTCAGCTATTGAAACACTTTTAATTACTGGATTAGATTATAGCTTCCATGCGTCATGAATTTAATCTGTAAAAATGACCTGAAACAGGAGGCACTCTCGCCACAGTTATTTAATTCAGTGTGAGATATGGAAGAGTAGCTCAGAAGAATATTATAACCAACTCATGTGTAACGGCCAATTTCAGAGCGGACTCTACAGATGAACTTTTCTACAAACTTTACTGTATTTGCTTAAGTTTGGTCACAGCAGACGCGACCTCCAGTCAGTCAATCGCTTTTCATATGTATACTGTACACTACTGTTGGCCAGAGTTCAGTTAAATGCATCTTGACATTTATACTTGAAGCATGCACACATAATGAGTTTCTCTCTTCTTTTATATACAAAGTAAGATATTTTGAAGAAAGTTGAAAACCTATAACTATTGACATGCATTTATTTTTTTCTATATGGGAATCAATAGTTACTGGTTTTCAACTTTCTTTTTGTGTTTAACAGAAGAAAGAAACTCATAAAGGTTTATAAGCACCTGCAGTTGAGTAAATACTCAGTAAATTGTCATTTTGGGGGAATTTTACCTTTAATAACAATTAATCTCACCTGCAGAACGTAAGAGAAACAGTCTTGAAACTGTTCTCTTTTTAGCTTTCGTCCATTCACAAACACTTCTCCCTGGAGGTTGCCAGAATTCCCAATGCGCCCTGCTATAGCATCTAACAGAGTGGTCTTTCCAGAACCTTAAGGAGAAGATCAAAACGTTTATTACCATATGAGGATATCATCTGACTTTTAAAGAAACTATTATGTATTGTAAATGTAATATAAGTGTATAATACATTTCCAGGTTCATTCTTTATTATTGCTTATTGTCATGTTCTAATCCATATACGTTTAACAATACTGGGAAAGATTTGTAAATATTATTATTTTTTGTTATATTTTAAAACATCTTATATTAAATTGTATTTAGTTAAAGGGAGAGTTCACCCAAAAATTTTAACCTTGTCATCTTTTACTCATCCTCCACTCCTTCCAAATCTATTTGTAATTCTTCTGTTGAACACAGATGAAGATCATTTAAAAAGAGTTGGAAACCTGTAACCACTGACTTACATATTAGTATTATTATTTTTCCTGCTATGAATGTCAGGGGTTATCAGTTTTCAGCTTTCTTCAAAAGATCTTGTTTGTTTAACAGAATAAAGAAACTCATAAGGGTTTGCAACCACTTGAGGGAGAAATAAACACTTTAAATGTTCATCTTTGAGTGAAATATCACAGTAAATTTCACAAATGAACATATTTATAAGTCAATAGCATGTTAGCTAGGCTCTGTTCTAACAATGTGTTATAATTGAAAGCATTGCAGTCATTCTTTTTCTCACAGATTTTAAGACATTTACCTGAGTTTCCAAGAATTCCCATTATCTGGCCACTGTCCAAATGAAATGACACTTCGTTTAATATTTGCCTTGTCCATTTTTTTCGAAAAGATGAAAGATCCCACCAGGGTCCTACACGTTCACTGTAACAGTGAAAAAATAAAATGTATATGATATGAGCATAAAAATGTTAGCTTATCAATATTTTGGACAATATTTTTTTCCCTTCACTTTAGTCAACTGGTGAAGTTTGTTCCTCGCCACTGGCTTAATTGTTTTGGGACTTGTTAAGCTGCGTATCGGTGGATTTGCTCAACAGTGTTTGGACTTTCAGCTGTGAGATTAAAACCACACTGAAATGAACTAAACTGAACTTAAACTCTGAAAACTGGACTGACACAGATTCAATTTACTAAACTTCTATCTTAAGCTGCTTTGACGCGATCTACATTGTAAAAGTGCTATAGAAATAAACATGAATTGAATTTTATTTTAATCGTTACCTGTAAACAGTTCCAGCTTCTTCTGTCTAAGTGACTTTCATAACAATCCTATTATAGAAACAGTTTTGTCCCTGTAGTAGCTATTAAAATAATAAGATGAAGTAATGGACTTATAAGAACATTTTGAGTGTTTAAAGTTGTTTGATGTTTTTTGTTTTGTCTATTATATGTATGTGAAGTTGCCTGTAATTGCTAATTGAAGCCTAGTTTACTATGAGTATAAAATAAAGTAACTTGAGCCTGATTCTGTGAGTAAAATTACATTCAACTAACTCTCATTCGAGTTTTAATATTATTACACTGTCAGGGTTAGTAGAATAAATGGACACATGATGTGTAAAGTTTACTACAAACACAGACATAAAGATGGTACTGTATGCTTTAAAATCATGACCCAGTTTGAGTAGTTCTTGAACAAACACTACTGGGTAAACAGAGGTTCACTTTCTGGATTAACCTGTCTGAGTAAGTGTATTAGACTGTACTGTATATGCATGCTTAAATTAATACAGGATTATAACAGCTGTATAACTGTTGTCTTACAACATGAGATAACAAGACAATGTATGATTGTGGCATTTAAGCTTTCATTCTCTGATAATTTTGTGGTTATTGGTTGTTTAATTATTATATGCTCATAACTTTTATATAAGGTGCTATGATTTTATAACAGAAAATTAAAATATATGCAAGTAACATATTGATACTGTACAAGTAATCAGAATATTTAATTTACAAGGAATTTCTTCATCTGTATAAATTAAAGCATTAGAACACTACAATACAATAATTATATAATGTAATTTAACTTTAGTTAACTAGTTACATTAGGTACAATGAATAAAAATTCTACAACATTCATAAATCTCAATTACTGTTATTTTCAACATTAACTAATAATTGTTTTTTGATTAAAAGTTGTATTTGCTAAAATATGTTAATTTAATAAACAAATGTTAATTAGCATTAAGTTTAATTAAACTTGAAAAGGTATTTATTATTGCTAGTTCACATTATCACATGCAATAACTTATGTTGACAAATGTAAAATAGTAAAATATATCTTTTATCCTCAAGATTTAAGCAAAAATTCTTAATATTTTAACATAAAAATCAACATTTGATCTTTTAAAAATCATTCAAAATATTCCTTCCTTACATTATTTTTATGCACCTAATGAAGGATCAAAACGATACAAAATTATCAAAAAACAAATAAAAGTATATTTCTGCTCAATTCCCATCTTCTACAATCAATGTTAAAGCAAATTAGTAATAGAAATATATGTTTCAAGGCTTATAGGAATTCAAAAATACTGTAGTTTATTGTGTTAGCAGCTGGATTCTTTTAAAACACATACAGCAAAGTACATAAGTAAGCCTAAGTAAAGTTTATGTCAGTTTATGTTAATGAAGGAATTAAAGAGAGTTCACCCAAAAATTACATTTTATGAACATAAAATATTTTGTAAAAAGTTGAAAATCAGTAGCAGTTGACAAAAATACTATGGAAGTTAAAGGCTCTTTTCAACATTATACAACAGTAGAAACTCAAACAGGTTTGGAACAAGCATAGAATGAGTAAATGATGACAGAATTATTTTTTAGCCTAATAAATATTAACCTATTAAGTTATTAACCTAATAACAAATTATTCTTAAAGATTAAACAATAACTTTCACAGAATGTTAGTTTAAAATATGAATCAATCACTGCAATCTTTGTCAGTTCTTACCTGACAGAATAGGACACGTTTTTGACGCTCAGACAGCTCGACGGCTCTATGTAGTCTGGGTTTGAACGGGCCGTCTCCATCTCTGACACCACCTTAAAAGATCCATTCAAGCCATTCTTCTGGACAACATCCTTCATGGAATAAGAGTGGCTCATGTCTCTCTCATCAGCATTCAAAACTATTGTAACTTGACTATTCTGAATGTCCTCAAAGTGACAGCCAGCTCCACGTCTTCAACTGTCTGAACGCTAATATCACTGCACTAGAACCATAAACGCCGACCCTTATCAGTGGACCTTTGCTCCATTTGCTATAAAGAGTCGCTTTCTCCTCTACTTCTCTTCAGTTTTTGCAGGGAAACAAGAGGAGCGGGTACTTCTATAAGTTGGGTACTTGGCAAGAGGGGGAACAGACCCCTTTGTACCGCGTCCGCCATGTCAGACGATACAGTTTTCCACTCAGGAGAAAGTTTCAGCTCTTCTTATGAAAAACAGATAAAGGTGAGTTCAGCCAATACTGTATACTGTATGCACATGGAGTCGGTACTGAAAACTCGAAAAAAAAAGCTGTTGACGTTTTATAGCCTAACTGTTGTCTTTGTTTTTTCTTTTTTTTTACGTTTTGTAGCTACATTATGAAAATGATGTCGGATTTTTTTCTGTGCTATTGATTTTTGTTGAGTTCATTCTGGGTGATTACATAAATGAACCATGAACCACACAGAGAACTCCAGCTTTTCTTATCTGACATTTGATAGATGTGATAAATAAAATGTGAAGGTGATCAGTTTATGATCCAAGTAATCTTAATTAAACTTGATAAACCTGAAGTCTTGGTGCTGACTCAAGGTGCCAATAATAATTGGAGTGATTGTGATTATACAGAGCTCAGCTTAAATGAGTACGCCACCTTTTAAAATGAATATTTGTATTTGATAATACATTCTGAAAACAGTTTTATTAAACAGTTATATTCATTAAAATAAGAGTTTGGTCACCTATATAATACATTTGATTTTAAATTAGTTTTTGCAACAATAAAAAATACAAACGATAAAATTATGTTAATGTTGACATTTCCTGTTTATTTACATTTTATCAAAATTTTTCCCCCAACATACTATTTTTGGGGGCAGCACGGTGGCGCAGTGCACCCCTCACAGCAAGAAGGTCGTTGGTTCGAGCCTCGGCTGCGTCATTTGGCATTTCTGTCTGGAGTTTGCATGTTCTCCCCTCGTTTGCGTGGGTTTTCTTCGGGTGCTTCGGTTTCCACCACAAGTCCAAAGACATGCAGGTTAGGTGAATTGGGTAAGCTAAATTGTCCATAGTGTATGTAAGTGAATGAGTGTGTGTGGATGTTTCCCAGTGATGGGTTGCAGCTAGAAGGGCATCAGCTGCGTAAAACATTTACTAGATAAGTTTGCAGTTCATTCTGCTGTGGCAATCCCAGATTAATAAAGGGACTAAGCGGAATGAATGAATTAATGAGTGGATATTTACTTATTGGCTTTGGCACTAACTAATCTTATGTTGCTCTGCCTCAAAACACGCAGGGTCGAGATATTCTTTTTTCATCTCCAGAGGAGGACAGCAGTCTGTATTTTACTTACAGCGGAGGCCGCAATGAACTGGAAGTCCGCAATCTCAACTATGAGGTCAGACACTTCGGTCCACATTTTTGGTCTTTATTCTTTCCACTGCCTTCAATCAAAGCCTTTCCGAAAGCTTACATCAAATGTAAATTTCAACCAAAACATCGTTTTACCCACCCTCCATTTGTTCTGTTTTCTGTGTAAATAAATTAAGAAACCAATAGCCATTGTCACCAATATCAAAAAATATATATATTATGGAAGTCAGTGGCTACAACATTCTTTTAAAAAACTAGTTAAAATCTTCTTTAGTGTTCAACAGAAGAACAAAGCACAAATAGGTTTGAAAGTGGGGGTTGAGTGAATGATGCCTGAATTCAAAACTGAAACAATGTACCAATTCTGGCCTGCACTTAAACGTTAAAATAAATATATAAAAGAATATTTATGATATTTTATGTTACATGATTAATAACTTGGCTGATAAGTGAGTAAAATTCAGTGCTTTGAAGAATAGTGGCAACATATAAAGGTTCAAAATGACAATTAATTAATAAATTGGGGCTTGACCAAGATTCACTGATAGTATTTTAACTTCATATTATTCTTGTTATAAATAAGCCTGAGATTATTTTTGTTAAACTATTGTTACACAGAATGGCATTTCAATGGGTGTCCTGAAAATAATGTTAAAAAATATATTAAAGGTATAAAAAATTCTTAGGAGCAGTAATGGCTGTTTTCTGATTATGGATACACTTCATCTTGTCTTAGGACAGTTTTGAAACATTTTTTAACCACTTCAAACATTGACTACTGTATATGCACATATCGACATACAGTAGCTTTATTTTAGCATGGTCTGGCATTTTTTGTTGTAGTTGTAAAACCTTTTAAACTTTTAAATATGTGTAGCCCTAAAAATCAGTATTAAGGTAAATGACAAAAAAATGTCCCATTATCCCTCCCCAAAAAAAATACATTTATTTTGAGTTTATTCATTGAAGATCATGCTAGAGTCTCCACTTATTTTCACTAAAATATTGGGTTGATTCTTAATTTGGGCAAACTATAAATAAACACAACTGCTGGGTAAATGTTTTAACCCAACAGTTACTGTGAGTTTGTCCATATTCCTTACATTTGTATTAAAGCGCTTTGAGTGTCAGAAAACTGCTATATAAATGTAATGAATTATTATTGTTAAACCACAGTTTGATTTTTAGCTGAAATGTGTTCATGTGTATTTGTTGTCACAACATTTTGCAACATCACACATTTTTTTTAACAGTATTTTGACAAGAAGAGACATACGAAAGCTTTTGTAAAATCAACTCATCCCAAACATGATTTGGGTTAAGGTCTTTGTGGTGGCCAAATCATGCATGACAATAGTTCATTATGCTTTACATATTTGCATAATTAAATTCAAACTGACGTGCCTCACTACATCCTCCATAGTCCATGCTCACTTTCTCTGTCAACTAATGTTTCGAAATGTCTTCAGATCTTATGCAACAACGTTCAAACATTTTTTTTAAGCTTAGTATATCTGTCACAGGTGGACACAGCAGCACAAATACCCTGGTATGAGAAGCTGTCAGAGTTTAAGATGCCCTGGGAGATGCACAGCAATAAGCAGACGGTCATAAAGGATCTGAACCTGCATGTTCACAGTGGACAGATGCTTGCTGTCATTGGCAGCTCAGGTAGGTCAAACATCACATGTGCAGGATTCTTGAAAAAAAAAAGTAATTTAAGCACATAAAAACATCAAGAAAGTCCAGAAAGTAATAAAGTCTTGGTTCCAGGCTGTGGGAAGACCTCCTTACTGGACATTATAACATGTCGAGATGAGGGTGGCTCCATGAATTCAGGAGAGATCCTGATCAACGGGAAACCTTCCACGCGATCTCTGGTGAAGAAAAGCATAGCTCATGTACGGCAGGATGACCGTTTGTTACCACATCTCACAGTACGAGAGACGCTAGCTTTTGTGGCAAAACTGCGTCTGCCTGCGAACTTCAGCCAAAAACAGAGAGATCAAAGGGTAAGCAACTCTAATCAGATCATATATGCAAGGAATAATTAATAGAATGTTGAAGTAGAAAAATAATGCACACCACTGTTAAACATGCATGCTTTTAAAAGCAAAAAAATAAATAAAAAATAGTAAATTGAGATTTTTTATTTTATTTCATATGTTTTTGTTTGGGCGAGGCAGTGGCGCAGTAGGTAGTGCTGTCGCCTCACAGCAAGAAGGTCGCTGGGTCGCTGGTTCAAACCTCGGCTCAGTTGCCGTTTCTGTGTGGAGTTTGCAAATTCTCCCTGCCTTCGTTTGGGTTTTCTCAGGGTGCTCTGGTTTCCTCCAGAGTCCAAAGACATGCGGTACAGGTGAATTATGTAGGCTAATTTGTCCGTAGTCTATGAGTGTGTGTGGAAGTTTCCCAGAGATGGGTTGTGGCTGGAAGGGCATACGCTGCGTAAAAACTTGCTGGATAAGTTGGCAGTTCATTCCACTGTGGCGACGCCGGATTAATAAAGGGACTAAGCCGACAAGAAAATGAATGAATGAATGAATGTTTTTGTTTGACGTTGTTCTTTAAAGATTATTTTCTCCTTTGTTATGTATGTGAGGGATGTATGTTAAATCTGAAGTTGATAAACAATGTTTACTGCATTATTTAATTTTATTTTGTGTTTCATGTTGTTTAGTAATTGTTTGATTAGCACCTATAGGGCCTTTTTCATATTACAATGATTCTGTCCTTGCGGAAAAGTTGTTTGACTTTCCCACTACCAGGGATGGGCAATATTGATGATACAAGTATTTCAAAAACTTGTTTCAAACACAAAATAGTAGTTTGTAATTTGTATTTGATAGGGTTGATGAAAATGGGTTAATATTGTGTATCAAAATACTTTAGTATCTTAGTGTCGTATTTTTGTATTTTCAAAATACTGTAAAATACTTTGTAAAAATGTGGCCTCTAATTAGTGCTTTTACACTTAGTTGCCTATGCTTAAGATCAGAACAGAACTCATATTGAAGAAAGTGGTCAATGCTTGGAGTATGAGGGGGTCATTGCTCGGAATAAAATTGCATGGGTATATTTGAGAGCAAGTCTGCAGTCATTGAAAAGAGTATACTGCACAATAATAAGAGCGGTAATATATAATGGCAGTATAGTGTACAGCATCGTTCCTTAAGAAATGAGATGGAATAAAATATCCATTCCAAAACAGGAATGCGGAGTCTAGAGCACATAATCGTTATCAGTCTCAGTGCTGCAGGTGGAAATGCAGAGGATGTTTAGAAATAAAAAAAAAAATATTTTCTAGAGATTTCAAGAGTTCACACTTAGCTGATGATTAATTATAAAAGCTTGTTTGGCATGCTGTCCCGGGAGAAAGCCCTGAGCTCATGAGATCCTCTAGCCCAGGGCTTCCCTACCGTTGCAAGGCGGGAGGGGAGTTTGAGCTCAGGTAGATCTCGAGAACTCCCCTGCTGTAGTAACCAATGAACAGTAAGTGATTGCTCTTGAAGACAACTACGTACTTGAAGCATATCTATGGTGAAAATTTTGATTTTTCGATTAACTTAACTGCATGTTTTTAGGCGGTGGGAGGAAACCGGGGAACCCGGGGGAAACCCACATGAGCACTGGGAGAAGTGCAAACTCCACACAGAAATGTCTGCTTGTTTGGTAAAGCCTGGAACCAGAGACATTCTTGCTGTGAGGCAACAGTGCTACGCACTGGGCCACCGTGTCACCCATCTAAGAAGGAGGAGTAGGGGTGGAAGGGGGGACTCTTCAAAACGAAGATAGCAGTGGAATGAAACCCAGGGTATTTATAGTAGTTTAGGAGTCATCTGATTGGAGCGTAGTGAATTGGATAATGCGGATCCAGCCGCTAGCAATCATAAGCACGTGATCCTCTCGAAATTTGGTAATACATAAACTTCACTTAATGTTGTGCATTGAAGAGTAAAAAAAGCAAAAAACATGATTTATAAAAAACACTTAAACTGAAGATTAAGTAGTTTTTAGAAATCATGTTTTTACAGTAAGTACTGAAGATTTCAATTGAAAAAAAAGTAAAAAAGTAATAAAAATAACCTCTTCATATATCATCCTTTTAAAATATATGACTGTTAAGAAATGGTGTCATTTTTAATGGCCAAGCAAGGGTTTGAAACACAATAAGAGTTATAGTACTATGTTCCAACTCATTATCTGCATTACATAGCTTCTTACAGTGATTAAAGAGATCATTTTCAGGTCAGGACTTGAACCTGTATGCAATTTGTACACAATTTATACTAAAATCAAAGAGAAACAACGGTTTATGAATACTTCCTCATGTACAGGGGTAAACGCTGTTGCTGTCAAACATTGTTTGACTTCACTAAATCAGTTTAATGGTGAAGGGACTTATCCAGTAGCCTTATTGATGGAAAGTTTGTGAATAAATTTCATGCTCCCTTGTAAAAGTATTTTGTAATATTTTTAAAATACAGTAGTTTGTTTAGATACATTTGTGGCTGCTGTAATTCGTAGTTTATTTTGATGCATGTAAAATTGAGGTATTTGGTATTTTATTTACAAATACATTAAAAACATCTGTTTTGGTGGTGTTTTTTTCTATATAATACAATGAATGTACAATGAATGCTAATATTTCAAAACACTGGTCCAATAATACTGAATAATTATAACTTTGTGAATAATTTAATGAAAACGGTAGCTTACTGTAAATTTAAAAATGTTCCTACCATATTTTAACGTAAAATTCTGGCTACCACAGTGGCCAATTTTCAAACGTATATTCTATGGATTTTTTTAAGGGGTTGTTGAATGCTCGATTCTGATTGACTAATGAACATTTTAAGGCATGCAACTAATTTTAGGGAACCACACAAGGCAGCTAAAGTAGTTCCAGGTACTCCAAGTAGTTCCTTAACTGCATATGCAGTTCCATTCAACTACTCTGAATGATTTCAGTTATTTCACAAACTACAACTGTTTAAACAAAAGCTCTTAAAAGATGTCCTGAAATACAGTGTCTTGATGTGTGTTAACCGTAGTATAAACAGTGCAATTCATCACCACGTGAGGTGTGCATTAGTTCAATAATTAAAAGCCAAGTCATCAGTTATTTCTTGCACAATCACCAGTTAAAGGTTAAGGGTGACTAAATGACATCACCTTATCAAGTTTAACCTTCTCAGGTGGATGATGTGATTGCGGAGCTGCGTCTGAGGCAGTGCGCTCACACACGTGTGGGCAATGAGTATGTGAGAGGAGTGTCAGGTGGGGAGAGGAGGAGAGTCAGCATCGCTGTACAGCTCCTCTGGAATCCAGGTGAGCTCTTACACATCAACATAGGTTTTAAAAGAAGACTCGGCTTCAAGACAATGTCTAACTTAACCCATGTACAGTCAGAACTTTTTTCTTAATCATAATCTTTTCCCAACACTAATATATACAGTTGAAATCAGGACTATTAGCCCACCTGAATTATTAGCCCCCCTGTTTATTTTTTCCCAATTTCTGTTTAGCTGAATGAAGATTTTTTTTAAACAAATTTCTAAACACAATGTGCCCTATCATACACCCGGCGCAATGTGGCACAAGGCGCGGCGCAATAGTCTTTTCGTAGTTTCAGCTTGGTGCAAGAGTTGTTTTGAGGCGTTGCGCTACGCTGTTTAAATAGCAAATGCATTTTCGCTCATATGTGCGCCCATAGGCGTTCTGGTCTAAAAAGGAAGGTGTGTTGAGGCGCACTGCTGGCGCGTTGCTATTTTGAGAAACTAAAATAGATTTTTCATTAGACCAAAACAAACCCGGTCTGAATTCCGGCGCAGAGTTGCCGGAATTTCTTTCCATATGAAAATATTTAAATATTACGGATATATAGGATATAATAAGAATAGATATAGGACATAAATATAAAGGATTAAAATATTACAAAACATTATTTTCTAGCCTTTATAAATATGACAAATCACTGCTTTTATGTCTTCTTCATCTCTGGAGGCTTTTTCAGTTCATTCATAACAATTTGCTTTTGTATAATGTTATTAATATTAGCAGTATTATTTATTATATCCATATTTATATTTGTTTTATTGTCTGTTTAACAGTTTTCTGTTAAAAAAAATCTGTTAACTGTTTGCTAATGAAATGCTCAGATTTTCCACTTAGACTTACTTTACGTCCTGTAAATAGCGAATGGGCTTATGGTGTGACGCAGCTCTTAAAGGGAATGGAAGATGAGACTCTAATTGGTTTATTCTCAAAACACACCTATAACTCATTAAGAAAATAAACTCAACACTTTTAGACCATGGGCTATGGCGCAAAGCGGATTTTCCCGTCCTTAAATTAGCAAAAATGCGTTCTGACACGCCCTGAAAGCGTTTGCGCCCTGCGTTTTGCGCTCTGCGCATGGACCGTCAAAATAGAGCCTAATAGTTTTAATAACTTATATCTAATAACTGATTTTTTTATCTTTGCCATGATGACAGTATATAATCCTTTACTAGATATTTTTCAAGACACTCATTTTTAGCCTAAAATACAATTTAAAGGCTTAATTAGGTTAATTAGACAAGTTAGGGCAATTAGGCAAGTCATTGTTTAATGGTGGTTTGTTCTGTAGACTAACGAAAACAAACATTGCTTAAAGGCGCTAATACTTTTGACTTTAAATTTTTTTTTTTAAAAATTGAAAACTGCTTTTATTCTAGGCGAAATAAAACAAATAAGACTTTCTCCAGAAGAAAAAAATTGATCAGACTTACTGTGAAAATGTCCTTGTTCTGTTAAACATCATTTGGGAAGTATATATGTATATACACAATTAATAAAACGACTACAACATACAAAAGAAAAAGAAAACCTATATTAAGGAATCAAAATGTCAGTTAAACAAATTTGATTATCAATAATACTAAAATAACACTTTGTTTATAGGCTTTTCATTTTGTGTGTTTTCAGGTATACTCATTCTAGATGAGCCTACTTCAGGTCTGGACAGTTTCACGGCTCATAATTTGGTCATCACATTATATCGTCTGGCTCGAGGGAACCGGCTAGTGTTGCTGTCAGTGCATCAGCCTCGCTCAGATATCTTTCAGCTCTTTGACCTTGTGGTGCTGCTGTCCTCTGGTTCAGCCGTGTACTGTGGTCAGGCCAAAGACATGGTGTCTTACTTCACCACTCTCGGGTACCCGTGTCCACGCTATTGCAACCCGTCCGACTACTACGGTGAGTGGGACTCTAAAGTGATGACTGATCACTTTAGCTGATCCTGCTGTTTGGTTATTGTTTCTTAACTGTGAACTTCTAATGCAGTGGACTTGATAAGCATTGATCGGCGCACTCCTGAAAAAGAAGCACAGTGTTTGGAGAAAGCCAGCATGTTGGCGGCCCAGTTTTTAGAGAAGGTGAAGAACAATGAAGATTTCATGTGGAAATCGGAAGTCTGTGGTCCTCCGGCACTGGAAGCCCCTCAAAGGTAGCCTATAGAGTTTCAAATTTATATTGTTGTTACATCATGAAGTTTTTTTTTTTCCTTTGTTTTTTTCATTTCTCCACGAAATGCGTGAACTGTCATAATAAATTTTCTGTGAAGTCTTATTTTTGTGTCTATAAATAGATGTAGCGTTTCCTCATGTCTGAATTCTGTATGCAAGTTACATGAATTTATTTACTTATTTATATTTCAGAGTACTATTATTAATAATGTGTTTGAAAAAAAAAATCAAGTTTTTTTGAGGAAAGGAATTCAAAGGAATATCAAATATTATGGCTCAGTTGTTTGCACTGTCGCCTCACAGCAAGAAAGTTGCTGGTTCGAGTACAGGTCGGGTCAGTTGGCATTTCTGTGTGAAGTTTGCCCCTGTGTTTGCCTGGGTTTCCTCTGGGTGCTCTGGTTTCCCCCACAGTCCAAAGACATGCGCTATAGGTGAATTTAATAAACTAAAATGGCCATAGTGTATGAGTGCAAATGCAAGAGTGTACAGATGTTTCCCAGTACTGGGTTGCAGCTGGAAGGGCATCCACTGCGTAAAACATATTCAGGATAAGTTGGCAGTTCATTCCGCTGTGGCCAACCCTTGATGAATAAAAAAACTAAGCCAAAGGAAAATCAAATCAAATATTACACAATATTATTATAAAATGCATACAAATATTAAATTTGTTAAAATTCCATGAATTCAAATTGTTAATACTGATCATTTGCAACATCGTTACTATATATAGCCATATATAATTCTTTTACTAAATAATACATTCAAAATGCATAATAGTCTTTTTAATGTAGTAAATGTCAGGGCTCACCAACCCTGTTCCTGGAGAGCTACCTTCCTGCAGAATTTAGTCCTAACCCTGATCAAACACACCTGAACCAATTACTAGTACCTAAAGCAGCACTTGATAATTACAAACAGGTGTGTTTGGTCAGGGTTGCAACTAAAATGTGCAGGAAGGTAGCTCTCCAGGAACAGGGTTGGTGGCCCCTGGTATATGTATAGTATGTTTAGTATACACTGTAAGACATAACAAGTGTGCTGTAAATTACTTATTACAATTGAGCTGTAATTTTACAATTACAGTTATAATTATTCATTTACAGTGTGCTTGTTAAAATTGCCAGTAATGCTGTAAAAATTGTCAGTAATACAGTAAAATTCACAAGCACACTGTAAATGAACGATTACAACCGTAATTGTAAAACTACAGCTCAATTGTAATTATTAATTGACAGCGCACTTTGGCAACCAATATTGCCAGTAATAGTGTAAATTTTAAAGCAATTTTTACAGTGTAGTGAATGTATTAAAGTTGAACAGTATATCATTTCAGCATCAGTATTGCATTGTGTTTGTCTACAATAGTTACATCACAGGATATGCAATGTTGAGTTGTGATTATATTTGATCAGCACAACAGTGAGAATACATGAGATTTGTAGTCATGGCAAATAACTTTATCACTGTTTATGCATTCATTAATTTTTTTTTGGCTTAGTCTCTTTATTAATCAGCGATTGCCACAGCGGAATGAACCGCCAACTTATCCAGCATATGTTTTATGCAGCGGATGCCCTTCCAGCTGCAACCCATCACTAAGAAAACACCCACACAATCCCGTTCACACACATACCCTCCGGACAGTTTAGCTCACCCAACCCACCTATACCGCATGTCTTTGGACTGTGGGGGAAACTGAAGCACACAGATGAAACCCACGCAAACACTGCACCACCGTGACGCCATCACTGTTTATTTAACTTTTATTTTTGATCTTATTTTTATATTTCTTGTAGTTTGTTATATTTTATGCAGACCCACTCTATATAACAATACTTGATCATCCCAGATGATCTAAATGAATTAAATCTTTGTAAATAGAGCTATTCTAATATTCTGATGAAATTATATTCATATCGCAATATATATCGCAATGTCAGATTTTTCCAATATAACACAGTCCTAGGGATCTATTTTGATGGTCCATGCGCAAAGTGCAAAGCGCATGTATGTGCTTATATATATATATATACATCTTTTGTGTATTAAGCAGTGAGTAAGCCAGGCGCATAACTATCGCGCTCTGCGCTGGACAATATTCCGGCTTTGTTCAGGTCTATAGAACAGACTGTTATAGTTTCTCAAAATAGCAACACGCCAGCAATGCGCCTCAATATGCCTTCTTTTTTAGATCAGAATGCCTATGGCCGCACATATGAGCGCAAATGCAAGCTGAAACTAGCAAACAACAATAGCGTCGCGCCTTTCGCCACATTGCGCCGGGTGTATGATAGGGCTCCTTGTATGTATATATACACTGAAAAAAGTGTTGCATGCAGAACTGTTGTAAACAATTTACTTGTGTTGAATTTAAACAAACAAATTAAGTTTAATGATGTTCAACTTAATTTGTTTGTTTAATTTCAGCCCAAATAAATTGTTTACAACCACTTAACGTATACAAATTGAATAAATACAAGGAATCATCTTTAAATAATTTTTTTAGTGTAGTGTATGTATAGTAAGTTTATCAGGCACAACAAAAACATGTTTTATTACATTTCTGGTCAAAATAGACCAAAAATGTGTTTGAAAATCTTATATATTATAAGAGAGATTTTTGATCCTATGTTTTCTATGCTTTTTTTCTACACCAGCAGTGTTCCTTCTGTCTCAATGAAAGAATCAGTGATCACAGTTTCCAAACAGAAGGATCAGCTGCCGGGAAAAGTGCATCAGTTCACAACCTTAATCAGGTAAAAAACCACAACAGCTTTTAAAAAGACTAAATAAAGGCACTTTAACATTCATAGAACTTTGGCATTCCACAAAAGACTATTTAAAGTGGAAAAGGTTAAAATAATGTTCTTCTATAATAATAATTTTATGAACTTAACGAATTCTTTAGGTAACGCAGAATAATTGTACTATGGCAACTCAGTAAAAAAAAAAAAACATTAAAATGAAGCACTTTTTTTAAAGAGTATCTCAAAATTGTCACCTGATAGCTGTTTGCCAAGACATTCCTGTATTTTTTTCTCAGACGGCAGGTATTTAATGACTACCGGGACCTGGTGACACTGGTGGTTCATGGTTTAGAAGCTTTGCTGATGTCATTGCTCATCGGTTTCCTATATTTCGGGTGCACAGAGGAAGGTCTTTCCATCCAAGATACAGTGGCTTTGCTCTACATGATAGGAGCTCTGACACCCTTTGCTGTGGTGCTGGACGTCATCGCGAAGTGTGAGTAAATGACTGAAGATTTACTCCATTGGAGTCTTCTGATGTCCACTGATGTAACAGGCTTTTCACAGGTCATTCAGAGAGAGCCATGCTGTATCATGAACTGGAAGATGGCATGTACTCGGTCACCCCATACTTTTTTGCCAAGGTAAACAATCTGCATTGTGTACAAGCTTCAGGAATGTCCATGTGTAAATATTTAGAACAGCAAAGATTAATGATTATTGCTTGGATATCAAAATTAATCTCCACTTTTTGGACAGATATTAGTGCTACTCTTCTTACATATTTTGATCTTTGGTTTTATTAAATTTAGGACGTCAGTTGTATTATTGAACACTCTGCTGCAATCTGATTAGTAATTTAAAACAGTGTCAGTCCTCAAACCTAACTAGCTTTGCAACATTCACAGATAATATGATCCTGTGTTTATGTGTTCTACATACCTGTACTATATGTGTGTTCCATATAGAAATATTATATGTGTGCCAATATATGCAAATTACATGTATAACAGACGTTTTTCTGGATTTCACGTCATTTATACAACATAAATTTCAAAATAAACAACAAAATCAAAGTCCAAGGCACTCAAATGTACGTGAAACAGCATTATACACTTGTTAACCTTAATGAAGGTTTTGTAACTCAGGCTCATTCTGATTACATACTACTGCTTGTTAAGTGGTGATGTGTTGGTGACATATGTAATACTGTTTCCGGGTCCAGGCCGTCACTCATTTGAGTTGAGAAATTGTTCGTTTATGATCACTTTTTATTCATATCACATATTAAAGTTAATTTTATATAAAGTCATAGTGTACACAACAAATTCTGGGCTTGTTTCATCACAAATACCAACATTTTAACAATTTATAAAAAAAAGAATCACTTTCTGATCATTGCATATTAGTAATGGACATAAATATTGCGATTGTGATTTTTGAAAGTATTAAATCCCTTTAAAACGTTTATTATTACCATTTCATGAGTCTCCCCATACAGTTGAATAGAGCGCTTGGACCCGGAGGGCGCTTCGCGTGACGTCACACTTAACAAGCGGATACATTTCTGGAGAGAGCAAAATACGTCCCAGGAGCTACGTTTTATTGCAGTTTTTGTTTTTGCGAATCCATTTTTGAGATCTCAAATTTCTCTCATGAGTGCCATTCGTGTCTGCTGTTCTCACATAAATCCACCAGAGGTCGCTGTTGACTGACTGACTAACCAACTGATTGATGCCACCACAATCCCCCTTCCCTAAACACAACCCAACCCAACCGCAGTGTTTTGAAAAGCAATCCAGAAAAAGTCCCCGCTTGACTTTTACCACATTTTCAGGTTTTATCACATTCTCACCCTGTTATTTACTTGTTTATTTTATTTTTTGGCTTTTGTTTTTTTGCCCTATCTGCTTTCTGGAACCGTTCTTCAGCGGACTTTTTCCCGTTGACCCTTTTTCGCGGTCAACTCCGCTCTGCATCTCAAATCTGTCGACGTAAGTGTCGAGCTACCAGAAAAACTAGTAACAATGTGAAAGCCGTTAATATAGTAAGCGAGAAAAGGAAAAGCATCATACCACCCTGTAGCAATCGTTTTAAAGATGAAATGCAGCCATACATAGCTTTGGGTACATAATTTGCGATCTCCAGAAATGCATTTAGGGCTACGTTTTCAGAATGAGCCTATGTTGAAGGTTTTGTTAAAATGCGTAGGTAAATGCTTACAGTAGTGCTGTTAATAAAGGCTTTTTAAGTTTTCCACTTACTTTTTCGAGTGCTTTCGGCTTAGGATTTTGTTGTTTGTCTTTATGAATCCCTTATCCAAAGAGCTCCAACACATTAACTACACCTAAAGCTTTTTTTTTGTTTGATTTTAGATTTATATATTTCAAAATATTGCAAAAATGGATGTTTACATGTATATATTTTGGATGGAAAACCATTGGAAACACAAATATGTACATATATGTTCAAATATTTTAGTTATAAATATGTATGTATGCACGGTGGTTGGCAGTGTCGCCTCACAGCAAGAAGGTTGCTGGTTTGCTAGCCAGCCCAGTCACCAGACATAAACGTTATTGAGCATGTCTAGGGTAGGATGGAGGAGGCATTGAAAATGAATCCAAAGAATCTCGATGAACTCTGGGAGTCCTGCAAGAATGCTTTCTTTAAAATTACAGATGACTTTATTAATAAGTTATTTGAGTCATTGCAGATATGAATGGACTTAGTCCAAGCTCATGGGAGTCATGCACAATATTAATTCTTTTTCCACTGTATAATTTCTTAGTTTCTTTTTCCAATAGTACATAATGTTTTTTTTAGCTAATAATTGACATATTAACTCTTATCAAATCATTCAAATTCATCTTTAATTCTATAGCACTTTTACAATGTAGATTGTGTCAGTGCAGCTTAACATAAATGAAGTTCAAGTAAATTGAATGCTTCAGTCCAGTTTTCACAGTTTTACGTTAAATGCCTCTGCTTAAAAGCCCAAACACTGAAGAGCAAATTTCAAAGAATTCATGCATTCAAATACACACACTTACTAAAGAACAAAACACTGCTGCTGCAAAGTATATAAATGTCTTTAAAAAAACCCATAAATATAAACTCCAGCAGTTTCGTTTAATTTACATAACAGTTCATGATAGGGAAAGGCTGTGAGTTGAACATTAGCTCCTCTTTGGTCTCTGGACTTTGCCTGATTTTGTCAACTCCTGATGTTAAATGAGATTTTCAAGCTCTAATGTCTCTTTCAGGTACTTGGAGAGCTGCCAGAGCACTGTGCCTTTACACTGGTATACGGTGTGCCCATCTACTGGTTGGCCGGGCTCAACGTCGCTCCTGATCGCTTTCTGCTCAACTTCCTGTTGGTTTGGCTGACGGTGTATTGTAGCCGCTCCATGGCACTGTTTGTGGCAGCAGCCCTGCCAACGCTGCAGACCTCATCTTTCATGGGCAATGCTCTTTTCACAGTATTCTACCTTACCGCTGGCTTTGTCATCAGTCTGGAAAACATGTGGATGGGTAAAAACACTTTAGAGAACAATTCATCTCAAATAAATGCTAGCTACTCATCTGAAAGTATTAAATTAATGCTCACTTTCATCATCAACAGTGGCGTCTTGGTTTTCCTACATATCCTTCATGCGCTGGGGTTTTGAGGGGATGCTGCAGGTTCAGTTTCGTGGGACCAGAATCCCAATCACTATTGGAAACCTCACTGTAGAATTCGATGGTATTAAGGTGAGTTTAACGTTAGCAATTCAAAGTGATGAGAAAATGTGACAAAAATGATGTATGCTTTATAATTCTAAAGCGACTTATACAATGCATTTAACATCAAGCAAGCTAAACATGCCCACATTTAGATGAGTGTCGAATAAAAGAAACATATTTGTATGGCAGATTTCCCACAATGGTTTCGGATTTGGTTTTAATAATTTTGAGTAGACTTGTCATTTTAATAATGAATGGCACTGTCATTTTTATTAATTTTAATTCTTAAAGGTGACATCGGATGCCCATTTTTCACAAGATGAGATGATTCTTTAGGGTGATTGAAAGGTCTATCATTTACTTTGGTTACATTTCTCAATGGTAGTGTAAATAAACACCAATTTTGTTTCGCTATTTAGTTTCATATCTCTTTAATGAGCTGAACAACCAGAAATGGTTTGTTTTAGCCTACCGATCTATTCTTGAGGTGTAGTTGAACCTGTGGAGCACAGATACAGCGCTCAGATGATCATCGAGCTTCTCATGACTTTGGCTGTATGACTGACATACTGTAAAGGAGTATTTGAAGCTGTTTCTGTATTATAATGACAAAATGTGAGATTGCGTTAGGCTGTCTGAATATAATTGTTGCCCATTGTTGCCCAGTTTTAAAATGTTTTAAAACAAACAACGGTCCCACTTTATATTAAGTGGCCCTAACTAATATGTACTTACACAGGAATTAATAGTTTATTACAATGTACTTATTGTGTAAATACATGTATTTACTGTGTACTTGTGCTTAATTAAATACATGTATGTAACTACATCTGTAATTAACTTTTGTAATTACATTTGTAAATACACTGTTGACCATCCCTTACACCTTAACCCACCCTTAAACCTACCCATACCACCAAACCTGTCCATAACCCAACCTGTATCCCAACTCAAATGCACCACGTGTTCTCAAATACATCATAAACACAGTAAGTACATTGTATTTATTTTTTAATGTAAGTACATAGTAGTTAAGAACACTTAATATAAAGTGGGACCCAAACGACTATATATGAGCAGTATCACACGAGTAGCAGTGCAATATGGCTGTATATTAGAACTGGTGAGAAGCGTGCGTTGGCTCGGGGCCACAGGTTGAGTGCCTTAGTGTCCCACCAGGGACGATATACAGCCATATAGCACTGCTAGGAGTGAAATATTGCTTCACTCTCACATTTATTCTTTTCTTTCTGAAAGGATCCGATGATGGAGACACCTCAAAAATCATGCACACGTTATTATCATCAGCTTAAGAAGTTCATTATATCAAATATAGATGCAATCTCGAGCTCCCTGAAGAAAGCGAAAACCACTCGCACTTTTAGACGGCCTCGTGAAACAACAACAAGACAAGGCAGATTTTGTTCTTCTTGGCTTTGTGTCTGTACATCAAGACAATGACGAGGTTTGATTGAGCTCGGGTAATCAATTGCTCGTTATTATATGCATATAGTATTACGGTGTAATGTCTCGGCTGTGTATTTAAAACATGGCGGTTTCTTCGTTTTCTTTCTGGCTAGCTCCACACTCGTGACATTTCTATGTAACCAATCAGTGTTCAACGTTAGTACCCATTCAAAAGAGTGCCGAAAAAGTTATACGGTATGGTTCGATACGTTTTTTGACAATGGAAACGGCCATGAAACCGTACCGTACCAAACCACTCAGTGGAAGCAGGCCAATATACACTCAGACAATTTACAAAAAACAAGCTGCATGCCTGAGCTACTTTAGCAGACACCAATCTATTTAATTAAATAAAGAAAATCCCTGAAAAGGGGAAAATTTTATCCAATGTCACCTTTAAAATAATAATAAATACATAACTATTATATATATATATTCGTCACCTTGGAATTGTAAGGTTCTACCTGATATTTTTGTCAAACCTGAGTTATTGACATATTCTTATTAAATGACACTTTATTTACATTATGTGGGGTTTTTTTATACGTTTTTTACATTTTAAACAAAAACAGTTTATCTACAAAGTTGAACTCTAGCTTGACTCTATAAGTTTCTTTCTGTTAGCCAATCAGAATGTTTTAATGCATGCACGAGGACCAATCAGGATCAGCTTTCTTTGTAATTTTGCCTTACTTGACAACGGAAAAGACCAGAAAGACAAAATCACACAAAATCAGAGTCCCTAAATAATGCACAACACAAAATTGAGAAGAAAACCTGAAACTGAAAAGATGTGTGTAAATGTTATGATTTAAAAAGCATTTTTTGAGATTGGGATGAAATGTTATATTTTTATTATAAACATAATTCAATCATTTATATAAAGCATAAAATTTAATAAATATTAACATATTCGTTTGACAAAATTAACATCTGCACTGGACAAAATGCCTTGTATGATTAAATTGAACAAGAAAAAATATTTATCCTAAAACATTAAATAAATGATGTCGAAAGCAAAAATTTTACTTTACTTTCTCAAGCATCAACATATTGTTACAACACCAAATTTTATATATATATATATATATATATATATATATATATATATATATATATTTATATTTAGCATTTAAAGCTACATGTAGTTTATTTAACAGTATTTCTGACGGCTTCTGAAGTTCTGAAATGTGACCTACACCATGGTGATTTTTTTTCTCTCTCAACAGTGGAATTTACTCAAGTCCAAGTTATTGTTCTAAAAAAAATATAATATAGTGCTTATAATTCACTCAAATGTTGAACTTGGTTTTCAGGTTGTGGAGATGATGAAGATGAACCAGTATCCGCTGTTCTCCTGCTACCTGGTGCTTATTGCTGTTTCTTTGGTTTTCATATTGCTCTATTATCTGTCCCTCAAATTCATTAAACAGAAATCCAGTCAGGACTGGTGAGGGAGCGATATATTCTGGTCCATATTGGAGCTTGTTTTTGCCAAGCAGCTGTAAAGTTCCCAACTATAGATCTTGGAAAACAAATCTGTTTGTTTAGGCTAGTTTGCAACAAGAACCATATATCTGTTTCCAGTTTATTCAGTGCACTGATGCATATTCAGTTTATTCCTTCTCTTGTTTTCACTTGATTTAGTAGTTTGAAAGCTTACTAAAAACAGTGATCAAATCGTGAGCTTTGTTGTACTTCCACTCTCTGCCGCTGGATGGCAGAAGTGTACTATGTTTTTTCAATCTTTAAAGGGATAGTTCACCCAAAAATAGGACTTTCCTTATCATTTAAACACATAAGGTATGGATTTCTTTCTTCTGTTGAACACGAAACAATATAAGAAACTCAAACAGGTTTGAAACAAATGAAAGATGAGTAAATGATGACAGGATTTTTATTTTTGGGTCAACTATCCCTATAATAGTTGTAAATAATAGTTGTTTTTGTTTGTTTTATTTTATTTTTTGTTAAATCACTTGAGATCATGCTTGCTAGATACATTTAATAACATTTATTGCATCTCTTTAGTGTAATTTTATTTAATTTCATTTTTTACTCCTGTAAAGCATGTATGTATGTGTATATATAATATTATTATATATATATATATATATATATATATATATATATATATATATATATATATATATATATATATATATATATATATATATATATATATATATATATTTTAAGTGTAGAAACTTGGCTTGTTAGAAAACTGCGCTGGTGCCACCTTCTGATCAACATGTCCAGATTTTGGCTTATGGATTTATCTCTCATGATGCATGTTCAATTCCACATGTATGTCATATTTAATAAACTGTTTAATCTTGAACAGATTAATCACATTTGAATCTTTGAAAGTAAGAAATAAAATGATTGAAAAGCTACTGATCTGAAGCTACAAACGTTACTTTTATTGAGCAATAAATAAATAGCCCAGAGTCAATGACACAGGGACAAATTTACACTGGAAAAATTCCAGTCTTACTCAGGGACATTTCATTTGTTTGGTCTCCAATAGTCATCATTTTGCTATAAAAAAATAAAATAAAATAAAGCCAATTTTAGTTTCAGCAATACAACTTTTCCATTTATCTGCATATATACTGTTGATGGAAGTTGTATTTCTGCATATAAATGCATTGGTAATAATTATATGATATTAAAAGTGTTAATCATAAAGGTGATTTATTATAAGCAATAACAATAATGTTATTGTATCCCAGTTATAATGTACTCAGAATTGTTTTACCTAAACACTGACCTTTCAATCTATTACCTTTCATCATATCTCATCATTTTAATGTTTTGTGTTACTCAATGTATTTCATGAAAAAATTCAAAAGTAGCTTTAGAGCATTTCATAAATTCTCATCTAATAGCTAATTATGACTTAGTGTCTCATTCATTCATTCATTCATTCATTCATTTTCTTTTCGGCTATGTCCCTTTATTAATCTGGGTTCACCACAGCAGAATGAACCGCCAACCTATCCAGCACGTTTTTTTTTATGCAGCGGATGCCCTTCCCATCTCTGCATGGGAAAACTTAGTGTCTCATCATTTTTAATTTCAATTGTATAATAATTATTAACTAATATTACGGACATATTACAAACTCATCAACAACCTATATTCATTTCAACTCATCAATATATCTTATCATCTCAACATTATCTGATTCATTTCGACTTTTCTTTTTTTTATCTCATAATTGATCCATCTAATATAGATTATGAGAATGTAATACAATAATGCAGTTAACCTCGTCAATTTAACATTTGATTAATTTTTGATAAATAATTTAAACTTTTAAACTTTAGTATCTCCTCTATTTTATTTGTTTTAATCTTGAAACTTCAGTTTGACTTTATCTCATAACTTTTTTCCCACTTATGCAGCAGTAAATAATGCTCTTTAGCATTTGTTTTATAATCCTCTAGTTTTATAGTTTAGCCGACTTTGACATTCTAGCTATTTACTTCAATTCAATTTGTTTATTGTCTTGTGCACAGTAAGGAAACACGTTTCCGTGTGCAATGAAATTCTTGCTTTGCCGTCCACAGTGAAGTCATACACATAGCGTGCACATCATACACATAAATACAAAGAAGTATAATTATGAAATGTAAATATTTAAATATCTATGATTGGGTCAAGTCTGTCAGTACATGAAATGGTAGGCTATTATGTACACTTAGAATGTGTGAAAAAGAACAATAATACTTGTTAAATTGAGGAAATCTAAAGGGAACATGCTGTTTACTTTTTAGAAGTTTTAAAGTTTGTTTTGTAACGGCAGGTCCTTAAAGACATATAATGCCAAACGGTTTAGATTTCATCATTTATACCCAGTTTTAAAACGTAATGACTCTAATAAGAGCTCTTGAAAGAAGACGTCTCCCTCTAAGCAATCTCAGCTTTCTCTCTGGCGTCTGTCTCTCCTGAGCTTCCCGGTTCAGCCCTTCACCTCCCTCTGACACACGCACGTGCAGGAGAATGAGCAAAACACATTCAAATATGCAGGAATTTACATGGCATTGCTGTATAAAACATAATGAACGAAAAAAAGAAAGAGTAATCATAATTCTTATTGTAATATATTTTAACTCGAAGTTCATTCATTAAAGCACCCTGGGCAAAAAAACAAAACAACGATAAAAAAATTAAAAAAATATTCTAATGAGACAAATATTAGAATGAGTTCTAAAGAATAATGTGAGCCTTAAAACTAATGATGGTGAAAATTCACTTTGTTGACATTACATATTACAATATAGAAAATGGTTATTTGAACACTTCTGCATCCTTGTGGACATTTCAGATCATCTTAGCTGCGTTAATGCAACAAAAAAATACACTTAGGATAAAAAATTCCCAGTTGAAACATTTATTACCCATTATACGATATTATACAATATTTAATTCTTTAAAGCATTAAAGTCTTACATTCATTGTTAACAGGCTTACATTTGGTTGAAGGCTTCAAAATTTTTACTTGAATAAAATAATAAACATTTTACAATTTTATAAATTTGTGTCAATTATGGAACGTGGCGTAACATTTTACCCCTTTTTGTTTTCCATTGTTTCAGGTATGGTACAGCATTCAAAACGACTTGATTATTACACCAGAATTAAGTATAGTTCATATCAACCTAGAAAATAATAGCTTTTTATTTTTCACCCGTCTCACATGATGTTAAAGTCGAAAAGTTTCTACAGTTAATGTAGAAGTGAAAACTCTTGGATTTTTTATTTTTTTGTGCGCGATGCTAATGGTCTAATCTGATTCAATGATTTATGCTAAGCTAAGTTAGAAGCGCTCCCGCCAGTCCCAGAGATTGGTCAAATTGATAAAAAAAGCAACAGTTCAACTAGGGGCCTTTTTTATTTTTTAAGTTGAGTGTTGCTAAGATGTTAATTTTATTTTTCTGAATTGTGGGGACATCCGGTTTTGGCTGTTTTTAAACTATACAAACTATAATTTTCTATGAGACTACCATAACTCTAGTCTCTACCCCTAAAAGCCTCAAAGCAAACTGTACATTTTTACTTTCTGAAGAAAAAACAAAACTAATTCTGTATGATTTATAAGCCGTTATGGGGACATGGACAATGTCCTACAAAGTCACCTTCAACTAATAATACCGGCGTCATACCCATGCTACATTTGTTCCAAAAAATGCACATTTCTCACACAAACACTACCAAAGCTGGTTTGGGAAGCCATTTTTTGAAACATACTTACTGTTGTCTTCAATAGAAAATTGATCATGCTCCATAACATTGCTGGTATTAAAGTATTAAGTACTTAAAAAGTATGCAGGGACTATATCTTGTTCTGAAAGAGGTCAACGGTCAGCACGCTAGTGAAGACACCCCAGTAGAAAAGCCGTTTCTCCCATAGTCATAGTGAATCAGTTGTGTGCAGGTCGGTTCACCTCCACTGGATGGCAGCAATGTTCCGTTTCATTTCCTCACAAACTTTAGTTCAGTTTGCCAAGAGATTTCACTCTACTGTGGTAAATATCCCTAAAAAGTTTCTCTTTGTTTCAGTCTAAATGCTTATTTATTTAAATGTGTAGAAGATTTCATCATTTATCAAAGTGTGCCGAAAAGCCAAAATCCTTTAAAACATTCGCAAGATGCCCAGAAATACATCTGTGCCAGATAATGTATGTTTTGCCACTTAATCTTAATCCTGATAAATCTACTGTTTCCAAGAAAGAAAAAAAAAAAAACAGAAAGCAGGATGCATGTCAGTTGATCCAGGATTGTTCCAATGAGATATTTATTATATAGCATTTACAGTATATTCCTACACAACCGAGTCTAAGCCTAATGTACTGGTGAAGAATATCGAACAATCTTCCATAATCTCTCATATCATGCATCCAATATCGACATATTCCCATACAAGCCAAAACCAGCATTTGCAGAGAATCATTCTTATTGAGCGACACTCAATTTAGAACAAAATAAACCAAATATAAAAAAAGAAAGAAAAAATAAAGATTTAAAACAACCACTAAGGTTTTGGGTTTGCATTTATTTGCATAAATATTAACTGTATGTACATGTTAACCATATCATGACATTACGAAGAGCAAAAACAAAATCACAGTAGAACACGCTGCTCACATCTGCTGCATATAAAAAAATGAATGAATGGATGAAGGAAGGAAGGAAGATGTTTTTAGTTGTCAATGGATGCTGTGGACTGAGTTCGCTGATCCTTCAGTTTGTCTGCGTAGAAACGAAAAGACTCCTGCGGGAAAACAAACAAATAAAACATGTTTACAGAGCAGAACAATTCTTGATAAAACCACATTTTTTTGATTTGATGATGCTTTTTACTTTATTACGGGATAAAAAAATAAGCAGTTTTAAAGAATCTCTTGGACAAGATATTCAGTGATTGTTGCATTTTTTTATCTCACAAAAAAATGTTAATTCTGTCATCTTTACTCTCCCTCCACTTGTTCCTAAACCGTCTGAGTTTATTTTTTCTGTTGGACACAAACGACATTCTGAACAATGTTGGGAAAAAAAGCCACAGACTTTCCAAATATTTTTTGTTCCAGATATAGATGTCAATGGCTGCAAAAATTAGAGTTTAGAACCACTTGAGTGAGAATAAATGAGAAAATATAATTTTTTTGGTGAACTCCCATTATTGGTTGATTTTTGCCAGCTAGTGGTGTAACAATGTAATTGCTACAATCTTCATATCTAGCATTAAGTTGCTTTCAAACTATGATTACTTTATTTTGATCACTACAAAAAAATACTGGTTATAGAGACTTAAATGAAACTGACTCATAAGCATACTTGGCGAATGATCTCTCTGGGT